TAAAAACAGTTTAAGAATAATTATCTGCATCCAGGCAGAATGGATATAGAGCACGCTAAACTAACTTGTTCATCTTTGTTCCCAGAATATTGATCATGAGACTATAAAGCCCCAGCTCCTACAGTCAAGTGAATATATGACAATTTCAGCCTCCATTCTTAAAGATGGAACCTTCTAGCCCTCGTGGCTGTGCAAAAAGCTACAAAAATGTGTCACCAGGGCACCCTAAAAGCTCAAAAAGCAGAGGGTAACTACAAAGAACACATCATCTATTATTCTTAGAAAACCTCAGGATTTTTGGTGAGCCTGACAGGATTACTCAACATTTGGGGTTGGCAACACTATACACTAAAGAGCTCAACTAATTCAGGCTGGATTGCTTCACCATATTACCCCATATCACCTGGGTGAGCATCCAGCTTCCTCTGTTACATAAAGGAGGTGTTAAAGTGTAAGAGTCTTAACAGGTTCAATTCCATAGTTTAAACATTTAATCTGCAGAATTCCCTTGGGAATATAAATATGGTACCTAAGAGAGACCTAAAAAAAAAAATCACACACACAACACCCACCACCTTCTTCAGTATATAAATAACTTAAAAGGTCAAATAAGATTCAGTTCCTTAAAAAACAGTAAGTCTGGAATAGCTTTTTGTCAGAGATTTGATTTAGAAAGGTTTAAGAGTAACAGCCGTGTTAGTCTATTCGCAAAAAGAAAAGGAGTACTTGTGGCACCTTAGAGACTAACCGATTTATTATAAATAAATTGGTTAGTCTCTAAGGTGCCACAAGTACTCCTTTTCTTTTTGCGATTTAGAAAGGGTGTCTTAAAAAGATTGACCAAAATGCAACAATAATTTTACACTATACTTTAGTGTACAAATGTTTAATATTCATATTAAATTTCATAATCTTTTTGGGTTAAGTATGACTGATTTAATAGTTTTAATATTACTATTAAATCTGATGACTTGTTAAAGTTCATTTTGTTCCTATTAACATTTAACAGCAGCAAATTTTTGACATTAGTTCCAAACGTCCTGAATTTTAGTTCTGTTTGAATTGAAAGAGAATACTAGAACTGCAAGCATTTAAAAACCTCCTCCTTCTAAGAAGTACTTTGTTTTGTATAGTCGTATTTTTTTTTAAATACGACTATACAAAACAAAGGCCTTCACTTAAAGTAATAATGCCAGAGATCTAAAAATTGGTTCTATATACCTCGTGATGCAAATAAGAAAAAACACCCAAAATATTTCACTTGCATAGTATAAAGCATAAATCATAGCAATGTATAGTATCTGTGTGTCCACAGAGGATATATATCAGACATTCGTTACAGACAAAACACAAAACAGGAAAAGGGGTAAAGGCTTGAACTAACCCTTACATTCGCAAGCAGTTGTTGCAGACTCCCTGGACTCCGATGATCAAAAGTGAGGCAGAACCCAGGAGTTGTCGCTGCAGAGCCCAGGGTGAGCTTGAAACTCACTCCAGAGGGCCAGGACTGTGCCTGGAGTGTCAAAGGGGCCAATAGAAAAGGAGTACTTGTGGCACCTTAGAGACTAACCAATTTATTTGAGCATGAGCTTTCGTGAGCTACAGCTCACTTCTCAAATAAATTGGTTAGTCTCTAAGGTGCCACAAGTACTCCTTTTCTTTTTGCGAATACAGACTAACACGGCTGTTCCTCTGAAACCTGTCAAAGGGGCCAATGTGACTCGCACCCTAACTGTGGAGGAGATCCCTCTGCTGAGCCTAAAGGGCCATAATCCCACAAGGACACAACCCTGATTCCAGGAAGGTCCCAAAGACCCACGTGATTAAGACCTGAATTCCCCCCATAAGCGAGAGAGACGTGACCTGAGCCCCAATTACAGAATGGTCACTCTGGCCAGCCTGCAAGAGCAGCATAATGACTAGAGACCAAAACCCTAAATTAGGGGGAGCTCTCAGGGGACCAAGACAGCCCCCTAATCCCACATAAACAAGAAAGAAGTCAGGGAGGTCACACCGAGCAGCCCGTCAAGGGTTCATAAGCCCAAGAGAAAAAGAGGGGAACCATCTGAACTGTGGTTACAGGGTGGACTTGCTGCTCTAGCTGCCACCGGCTCCCGATCCCCCACTCATGTGACCTGCACCCTTCTTACAGGACAGCCACTCTGACTCAGAAACCAAAAAGGAGAAGAGTCACGAGAAAGCAAGAAGGAGACACCTCTGAACTGCAGTTGCAGGCAGGTCTTGCTGCTCTAGGGAAATCGCTAAACAAGGTGGCTAAGGTACCAAAGGGAAAAAGACCTGAAGCCAAATTACAGGGAGTTCATATCCCCAAGGTATTAAAAAGCTCTAATCTCCCTTTCCACCGAGAACCATGGATGTGACCAGGGCTTGTCTTTACAGGGTGGCCACGCTCACCGGCTGGCTTAATGGAGCATAAATATCAAGAGACCTCAACCTTGGTTACAGGGAGGTCCCTCAGACCTAAGGTTCTTGAAGTCCATCATTCCCCCAGAAGGGAGAGGGGGATGAGGCAGGGAGATCACATGGTCTAGAGGAACTTAAGCAAGGGGCCCAAATGCCTTTTCAGCCTTAAGGCACGAGACCAAAACCATCAATTGTGCAACTATACGGGTAAATGAGGGGCATAAAAAAAAAACAGTTCTTTTTCTAGTTCTGGGAAGAGCTCATTCAAACCAACCAACCAAACCAAAATAAAAAAAAAAAAAAAAAGCTGCAGCAATTTACAAATAAATAATAACTAAAGACCTTCCACACCCACGCACATCACGTTCGCTCTCCAGCACAGACATACCAGATGACAGCACTTCCCAAAGCAGAAAAAGAGCAAACTGGGAAAGGCTATGGGCCCAGCATATTAAAAAGGCAACGAAAGGTCACCCTGCTCATGCCACAGGTGAGAGGAATGAGACCAGAACCCTACTTACAGGGCGCTCAGGCTGACTAGCCAGACAGCACGGTTTCCCCACTTACAGCTCACAAGGGGAGAGACAAGAACCCTAGATACAGGGTGGGCCATGCTGACTAGCCAGCCAGCAGGGTTTAGCACCTGGAGCTCACATGCTGAGAGACAAGAACCCTACTTACAGGGCAGTCACTCGGTCTCAAGGTACTTAAGGGCTCAATATCCTCGGTGAATGAAAATCCGGACCTGAACTCTTGTGAAGCGAGCGGTCTTCCTGACTGCCTTGCTGGAACACCACAGTGCCGAGAAAGCCAAAAGGGAAAAGACCAAAACCCAAAGTTACAGGCAGGTCACTGCATCCAGCCTAGTAAGTGAGCCCTAAACCCCACCAGCCACAGGGACGTGAGCCGGACCCCGATTACAGAGAGGTCACCGAGTAGCATGCCAATGGTTCTTAAACCCACCATAGCAAAAGGGGAGACCTGAACTCTACTTACAGGGAGGCTACATTACCCATGGGGATTAAAGAGCTCAACCTCCTCACTGAGTAACAGGGGTGTCACCTGCACCCTTCTTACAGGGTGGTCACTCTCTCCAGCCGGCTAACGGAGCCGAGGGGGAAGAGACCTGCTCCCTAGTTATAGGGAGGTCTCACTGCTCACGGTACTACTGGGTTCAGGCTGGCGCTCTCCTCTCCCCCACCAACCCCACAAAGAAGAGGGACTTCCACCCTAGTTACAGGACGGTCGTTGTGCCCGGTGTGTATTTTCTCCTCCTCTTCCATCTTCTGGATCATCTTCTCTTTCCTCCTTCCCGTTTTCTTCCTCACGTGCTGGAAACGGAGAGAGGGAGTGTGCAAGACAGGTTACGACAGGATTAAGAGAGTCTGTAGATCTTCAAATATAAACAGTGTGCATTAAAGTTGCTACCTTGTCTTCTTGCCTCCAGAGGCAGCCTTCGACCTATAGCTGGCAGGGAATTCTGAGCTGTCTCCATCATGTGCTTTGATGGCACACTCGACGCCCAGGCCTCCAACTCTCCCAAAGTGCCAAAGACTCAACTGATGCCCTACTGTGGAGCCAGCAGCTTCCTCACTATGAAATAAATCAGCAGCATGTTATGCTGGGGGGTTGTTAGTGAGAAATGCACTTTAAACAGCAAGAGTCACAGACACAAGGTGCTGTGTACTAACTGATTTAACAAACAAAACAAAAAGAACAAACAAACAAACCAGGTAAAGGGTTGAACGGAACCTTGAACTCGCCAGCAGTTGTTGCAGACTCTCTGGACTCAGACGATCAAAAGAGGCAGAACCCAGGAGGCGTCGCTGTAGAACCCAGGATGAGCTGGACACAGTCCTGGCCCTCTGGAGTGCATATCAGCAGCAGCAAAGGGGCTGATGTGACTTGCACCCTAACTATAGAGGAGGTCCCTCTGCTTAGCCTAAAGGGCCATAATCCCACAAGAGCAAACAACCCCAATTACAGAGAAGTCCCACAAAATTAAAACCCGAATCCTGCCCCCCCGCCCCCCATGAGCGGGATGGACATAACCTGAGCCCCAATTACAGAATGGTCACTCTAGTCATTATGCTGCTCTTGCAGGCTGTCCAGAGACCAAAACCCTAAGTTACAAGGAGCTCTCAGGGGACCAAGACAGCCTCCTAATCCCACATAAACGAGAAAGAAGTCAGGGAGGTCACACCGAGCAGCCTGTCAAGGGTTCACAAGCCCAAGAGAAAAAGAGGAAAACGATCTGAACCGTGGTTACAGGGTGGTCTCACTGCTCTAGCTAGCGCCAGCTCCCGATGCCCACTCATGTGACCTGCACCCTTCTTCCAGGACAGTCACTCTGACTCAGAAGCTAAAAAGAAGAAGCACGAGAAAGCAAGAAGGAGACACCCCTCAACTGCAGTTGCAGGCAGGTCTCGCTGCTCTTGGTCCCCAAAGGGTTCACTAACCCCCTGCAAGCAAGGGATGGGACCTGCCACTTAATTACAGGGAGGCCACTCAAGGCCAAGGTACTAAAAAGAGCCGAGAGGACCAGGGACAAGACCCGTACCCTCGAGAATGGGGGGGGGGGGGGAGGAGAGAAGAGAAGAGAGCGGGGAAATCTTAAAACAAGGTGGCTAACGTACCAAAGGGGAGAAAAAAAAAAAAAAGAGAGACCTGAAGCCAAATTACAGGCAGGTCATATCCCCAAAGGTATTAGAAATCTCTAATCGCCCCTTCCACCAAGGCACAGGGATGTGACCAGGGCTCATCTTTACACGGTGGCCACTCTCACTGGCTGGCTTAATGGACAATACCAAGAGACCTCAACCTTGGTTACAGGGAGGTCCCTCAGACCTAAGGTTCTTGGAAGTCCGACATTCCCCCAGAAGGGAGAGGGAAGTGATGCACAGAGGATCTTAGCAAGGGGCCCAAACGCTTTTTCAGCGTTAAGGCACGAGACCCAAACAGTCAATCGTGCCACTATACGGGTAAATGGGGGGCATAAAAAAACCAAACAAACAGCATTTTCTAGTTCTGGGAAGAGCTCATTCAAACCAAACCAAAAGACAAAAGCTGCAGCAATTTACAAAATAAAATAACCAAAGACCTTTCACCCCATGCACACCACATTCGCTCTCCAGCACAGACATACCAGATGACACAGCACTTCCCAAAGCAGAAAAAGAGCAAACTGGGAAAGGCTAAGGGCCCAGCGTATTAAAAAGGCAAAAAAAGGTCACCCTGCTCATGCCATAGGAGAGAGAAACGAGACCAGAACCCTACTTACTGGGCGCCCAGGCAGGCTAGCCAGACAGCACGGTTTCCCACTTACAGGGCAGTCTTGGTCTCAAGGTACTTAAGGGCTCAATATCTGTGTGAATGAAAATCAAGACCTGAACTCTTGTGAAGCGAGCGGTCTTCCTGACTGCCTTGCTGGAGCACCACAGTGCCAAGAAAGCCAAAAGGGAAAAGACCAAAACCCAAAGTTACAGGCAGGTCACTGGCGTCCAGCCTAGTAAGTGAGCCCTAAACCCCACCAACCACAGGGACGTGAGCCGGACCCCGATTACAGGGAGGTCACCGAGTAGCATGCCAACGGTTCTTAAACCCACCACAGCAAAAGGGGAGACCTGAACTCTACTTGCAGTGAGGCTACATTACCCATGGGGATTAAAGAGCTCGATGACATCCCTGAGACACAGGGATGTCATCTGCACCCTTCTTACCACTCCCCAGCCAGCTAACGGAGCCGAGGGGGAAGAGACCTGCTCCCTAGTTATAGGGAGGTCTCACTGCCCAAGGTACTACTGGGTTCAGGCTGGCGCTCTCCCCTCCCCCGAACCCCACAAAGAAGAGGGACTTCCACCCTAGTTACAGGACAGTCATTGTGCCCGGTGTGTATTTTCTCCTCCTCTTCCATCTTCTGGATCATCTTTTCTTTCCTCCTTCCCATTTTCTTCCTCACGTGCTGGAAACGGAGAGAGGGAGCGTGCAAGACAGGTTACGACAGGATTAAGACAGTCTGTAGATCTTCAAATATAAACAGTGCGCATTAAAGTTGCTACCTTGTCTTCTTGCCTCCAGAGGTAGCCTTCGACCTATAGCTGGCAGGGAATTCTGAGCTGTCCCCATCATGTGCTTTGATGGCACACTCGACGCCCAGGCCTCCAACTCTCCCAAAGTGCCAAAGACTCAACTGATGCCCTACTGTGGAGCCAGCAGCTTCCTCACTATGAAATAAATCAGCAGCATGTTATGCCTGGGGTGGGGGGGGGGGGTTAGTGAGAAATGCACTTTAAACAGCAAGAGTCACAGACACAAGGTGCTGTGTACTGACTGGTTTAACAAAAACCAACAAACCAGGTAAAGGGTTGAACGGAACCTTGAACTCGCCAGCAGTTGTTGCAGACTCTCTGGACTCAGACGATCAAAAGAGGCAGAACCCAGGAGGTGTCGCTGCAGAACCCAGGGCGAGCTTGAAACTCACTCCAGAGGGCCAGGACTGTGCCTGGAGCATGAAAGGGGCCAATGTGACTCGCACCCTAACTGTGGTGGAGATCCCTCTGCTGATCCTAAAGGGCCATAATCCCACAAGAGCAAAAAGAGAAGAAGAAGGACACAACCCTGATTACAGGGAGGTCCCAAAGACCCGCGTGATTAAGACCTGAATTCCCCCCAAAAGCGAGAGGGACATGACCTGAGCCCCAATTACAGAATGGTCACTCTGGCCAGCCTGCAAGAGCAACATAATGACTAGAGACCAAAACCCTAAGTTACAGGGAGCTCTCGGGGGACCAAGACAGCCCCCTTAATCCCACATAAACGAGAAAGAAGTCAGGGAAGAAGTCAGGGAGGTCACACCGAGCAGCCTGTCAAGGGTTCACAAGCCCAAGAGAAAAAGAGGAAAACGATCTGAACTGTGGTTACAGGGCGGTCTCGCTGCTCTGGCTGCCACTGGTTCCCGATCCCCACTCATGTGACCTGCACCCTTCTTACAGGACAGGCACTCTGACTCAAAAGCCAAAAAGGAGAAGAGTCACGAGATAGCAAGGAGACACCTCTGAACTGCAGTTGCAGGCAGGTCTTGCTGCTCTAGGTCCCCAAAGGGTTCAGCCCCGTAAGCAAGGGATGGGACCTGCCACCTAATTACAGGGCGGCCACTCAAGGCCAAGGTACTAAAAAAAGAGCTGGGAGGGTCAGGGATGAGACCCAAACCCTCGAGACAGGGTGGGGGAAGAGGGGCGGGAAAATGGCTAAACAAGGTAGCTAACGTAACAAAATGAAAAAAGAGACCTGAAGCCAAATTATAGGGAGGTCATATCCTCAAGGTATTAGAAAGCTCTAATCTCCCTTTCCACCGAGAACCATGGATGTGACCAGGGCTTGTCTTTACAGGGTGGCCACGCTCAACGGCTGGCTTAATGGAGCATAAATACCAAGAGACCTCAACCTTGGTTACAGGGAGATCCCTCAGACCTAAGGTTCTTGGAAGTCCATCATTCCCCCAGAAGGGAGAGGGGGATGATACAGGGAGATCACACGATCTAGAGGAACTTAAGAAAGGGGCCCAAACACCTTTTCAGCCTTAAGGCATGAGACCCAAACCATCAATCGTGCCACTATACAGGTAAATGGGGGGCAAAAAAAACAACAGTTCTTTTTCTAGTTCTGGGAAGAGCTCATTCAAACCAACCAAAAAAAAAAACAAACAAAGAAGCTGCAGCAATTTACAAATAAATAATAACTAAAGACCTTCCACACCCATGCACATCACATTCGCTCTCCAGCACAGACATACAAGATGACACAGCACTTCCCAAAACAGAAAAAGAGCAAACTGGGAAAGGCTATGGGCCCAGCATATTAAAAAGAGGCACAAAAGGTCACCCTGCTCATGCCACAGGTGAGAGGAATGAGACCAGAACCCTACTTACAGGGCGCTCAGCCGACTAGCCAGACAGCACGGTTTCCCACTTACAGCTCACACGGGGAGAGACAAGAACCCTAGATACAGGGTGGGCCATGCTGACTAGCCAGCCAGCAGGGTTTAGCACCTGGAGCTCACATGCTGAGAGACAAGAACCCTACTTACAGGGCGGTCACTCGGTCTCAAGGTACTTAAGGGCTCAATATCCTCGGTGAATGAAAATCCGGACCTGAACTCTTGTGAAGCGAGCGGTCTTCCCGACTGCCTTGCCGGAGCACCCCAGTGCCGAGAAAGCCAAAAGGGGAAAGACCAAAACCCAAACTTACAGGCAGGTCACTGGCCTCCAGCCTAGTAAGCGAGCCCTAAACCCGTGGGCCGGACCCCGATTACAGGGAGGTCACCGAGTAGCATGCCAACGGTTCTTAAACCCGCCACGGCAAAAGGGGAGACTGAACTCTACGCTGCCCACGGGGATTACAGAGCTCGGCCTCCTCACTGAGGCACAGGGGCGTCACCTGCCCCCTTCCTACAGGGTGGCCACTCTCCGCGGGCGGCTAACGGAGCCGAGGGGGAAGGGACCTGCGCCCTAGGGACAGGGAGGTCCCGCTGCTCACGGTACTACGGGGGTCAGGCCGGCGCTCTCCCCCCCGCCCCAAGGAGAGGGGCGCCCGCTGCGCACAGGGGGCCGCTCGGCGCCGCAGCGGGGCGGGCGGGAGCCGCTCCCGGAGCCCGGGAAGCCGCGGCCGCGCAGGGCCCCCGGAGATTTGGGGCACCACGTTTCCCGGTGCCCTGCGCAGGGCTGCGTCCTGCCCCGGCCCCGCCGCCGGCTCCCGCCGCCCCGCCCCGCCCCTGGAGCCCGCAGGCGGCCGGCCCGGCCCGGCCCTCCCCGGCCAGTGCTGCCACCCGGCCCCGCCCGCGGGGGCCCTTTCCGTCCAGCTGCCCCAGCGGGGCAAGTCCCGCCGCGGCGGGGGCTCCTCGGGCGAGGCGGGCCCGTCTGCCCCGCGCTCGCGGAGACCCGACAGCGGCCGCCGCGCCGCTCCTCTGCCGCCGTCTGAGGCCGCGGGCCGGCCCCTTTCTGCAGGCTCCGCCCACCGCCCACAAGCCCCACCCAGATTCCCACCCAATCGGAGACGCCCGTTTCCCCGCTCGGGCAGGTCGCCTCCTCCTCTCATGATACCGCACCTGCTTGCCGCCCGGCCTGCGGCTTGAGTCCCCGAGCTCCGCCCCCCGCTCGTGCCGCCCGACCCGAGCTCCGCCCCCCGACCCGAGCTCCGCCCCCCGCTCGTGCCGCCCGACCCGAGCTCCGCCCCCCGACCCGAGCTCCGCCCCCCGCTCGTGCCGCCTCACCCGAGCTCCGCCCCCCGACCCGAGCTCCGCCCCCCGCTCGTGCCGCCCGACCCGAGCTCCGCCCCCCGACCCGAGCTCCGCCCCCCGCTCGTGCCGCCTCACCCGAGCTCCGCCCCCCGCTCGTGCCGCCCGACCCGAGCTCCGTCCCCCGCTCGTGCCGCCTCGGGGCTTCCCCTTCTCGTCCCTCCGCATCTCCCCGTAGCTTCCCCTGTCTCAACTGCCCCCACCCACCGGTGATGGAACCGGGGGTCAGGGCCCCCCATTTGTAAAAGGGGGAGAGTCATGCCCCCACGTTTTGATGGGGTATAGTTTTGGGGAGCAGGGTCACCCCTGACCCCTCCACCGGCGAGCCTTTGCAGCGGGTATCAGTTTGGGGGGGGTACGGTACCACTGTCTCCTGCCCCCTCAGCTGTTAAAAAGTGGGGGGCCTGGCCCTCTGCCCCCCCATCTACAAGGGCTGCAGCCCCCCTGCACCCCCTCCCGCCGGCGGCAGCGCCCGCTGTTACCAAGCGCGCTGTGGGGTCCAGGTGCCTGGCCAACCGCCCCCTGCTTCTCCGGGGTCCGTGGAGCCCCCGCTGCGTCCCTCGGGGCCAGGCAGAGACCCCTGCCCTCGCGTCGCCTCCACCTCCGCCCAGGCAGCTGAGCCCACGGTGGAAGGGGGGGCTGGCTTGGCCCAGGCAGCCTGCGAGAGGGTGAGGCCGCAGCACCTCAGCAGAGCGTGCTGGCGGTGCCCTCGCCCCCCTCTCCCAGCGTGCAAGGGAGAGACAGGCCCACCTCTGCCGTCTCCTCTCCCCCCACAGTGCTCGGTCACGCCACAGCCCAAACTCTAACATTTGCCATCTGGCATATGGAAGAGACGGTCCGTCCACAGCGCTGATTTAAAGGTGTAATTGTAGCAGGGGCAGGCCGGCACACCCAACCCAGCTTTAATTTACGCGGCACAGGTAACAATTGCAGAGAATCGGGTTCCAGTGCAGATTAGCAACCTCAGTACCTAGCCAGGGTCCTCAGTGCGCCATGCCCCCAGATCTACACTCCACTGTTGCCTGCGCTCGCTGGATTAAAGCTCGTGCAGGTATACCTACCCCTGCCACAATTGTACCTTGGTTTGTGGTGTTAGGGTGACCAGATGTCCCGATTTTATAGGGACAGTCCTGGTTTTTGGATCTTTTTCTTATATAGGCGCCTATTAGCCCCCACCCCCTCTCCCGATTTTTCACACTTTCTGTCTGGTCACCCTATGTGGTGTAGATGTACTCTTAGCCAGGGTTCATGGGTATGTCGCCCTGCATATATTGTGTGAGATAGCTCCTTATTGGCATTTTGAAAACTTTGATGTTTCCCTTTCAATGTTTGTTTTATTACTGGTTTTAATGTCTCTAAAGGCAGGGTATTAGATTTCTTTTTGCATGATCAAATGTATAAAGAGAGCAGCTGTGGTTTCTTCATTTTGCTGGCCACAGAAGGTATGTCTGTACTAGAGCTAGAACGTGTGAATTCTACCCTAGCTCTGATTAAGCAGCATGCTGAAAACAGAAGTGCAGCCAAGGTGGTGCAAGGGGCTGGTTGCCCTGAATATGTACTTTTGGTCTCTGACTGGATCATACTTGGAGTGGCTAGTCCTGCTATGGCTACATTTCTCTTTCTAGTGCACTAGCTAGATCAGAGCTAGTCAGGTATGTCTCCTTTACCTGGAAGTTACACCTTCCAGCTCCAGTGTAGACAAACCCCGAGTAAGGCCTTGTGTATGCTAGGAGGGTTTTGCCTGTGTACTTATACTAGTATAGCTATACTGACAAAACCCTCTAGTGTGGATGCAATTATGACAGTCTAAAAGTGCTTAAATTAGTAGAATTTATGCTAGTTTGAGAGCATGCTCTGTTCAATTGCCCAGTCTTCAGCTACATGGTTCTCAAATTATTGTATTCTGCAGATCACCAGAAAAGGCTCCTTTCACCTCATTTAGAGAAATATTTAACATCAGTAAAAATAATCCAAGTCAAAATAGTAACATGAACTTCTGGATTTACCCAGCTCAAATAAGATATGTAGCTGTTTCCAGATTTTTTTTTTAAAAAAATTATTTTGTAATTAACATCCAATTGAGAATTACATAAGGAGAAGACGCCTCCAAAACAAAATCAAAAGGTTACAAACATTTCCTAGGCAAATTGAGAATCCATTAAAGTTCACAGTTGAGGTGCAAGAAGAGAAAATATTCCCCAATTTTCATTGCAATAGCCCAAAGAAAAAAATATAATGAAGTCAGGTCAAAAAACTACTCAAGTCTAGAGCAATTATTATGAGTAATCAAATTACTACCCTTTAAACTAAATTATTTAAACTACAGGAATTCCTAAGGGCTTATACATGCCTTCTAGGCACTAGCCTACATTAGGCAGAATGGAGTTCTCACTGGGAACTCCTACATTCCCTAAAGGAGGATGCAGCATACTCTCCCCAAATGCTTGCCAGCTCTGCTGGCCAGTGCTTGTGATGACATGATCCTGCCTCTTCCGAATCCTCATCTTGTGGGGTTTGCTCCTTAAGTGGTTTATGAGAGAACAGTTAATTGAACACCCTTTTGAGATGATTGTGGGAGCTCAAACCTCTAACACCAAGCTATTGTTTCAGGCTGTCTAGAGACAGACTCAGAGAGCACTATGTTGATTATATCTGTCGAGCTGTCTTTGCAACTAGGACTAGAAACATCCCACCCTCAAATGAAAGCTTGAATTCTGCAGAAAGTGAAGTAACTCTCACCGCCAAAAGCTTCAAACCCATCATTAGCAAATGGAAAAGTGCAATTTTCAAGCCCTATGTCTGGCATGAATTTAGACCACTAGATAGAGATCAGTAAATACATTTAATGGTTATGTACAGGAAAATGTACAAATACAACAAATTTAAGTTCAGTCTTTGCTTTACAGTACTATTACTTTTTTTTTCTTAAAAAAAAACACAACAAAACACTCAATCTTTATGGTGGGACAGAAATAGTTAACCTGAATAATTAAAAAAACAACTCCAAATTAAAAGCTCGTTATATGTTGCACTGTCCATTCAGAGGTTCCATGCTGGAAGTACTTTGCCATCTGCTTTAAACTGACTGCTAAAATGATTTCCAGCCTTCTGGTGTTATTGGCTATACACTGTGCCAGACAGAAGAAGGGGGAAAACATATTGCTGTTAACAGAATCAAGAATAAAACAAAACATAGAAACATAAGCAAATTATTTAGCTGGGAATTTAGCCCTAATAAGTATGTCTGTTGTCCGTCAGAAGGCAGACTCAAGCCCACTTCCATCATAAGGTAGTTTTCACTTGTACCAGTCTAGCTTCAGACAGCAAACTATATTTGATGTTATAACTGGGCTTGAGTTTACCCTCCGACAGACCGACATATTTATTATGGCTGAATTCAAAAGATACATGGTGGTGAACTTGAAGCAGGATACAGTTCAGCACTAAAAATACAGCAACAGGTGACCAATATTGATGATCAGATTAATTTTGAAATAATTTAGTAAATATCTTCAGACAAATAGTCAAGAAACAGGCTAGATTATTACTTTAATGATAGGGGTGGAGACAACTCTCAGACTGACAGTGTTTGAGAGTATTGTGAACACAGCTTGCTCCACTCTCAAAGGCGGAAGTGTACCTTATCACTCCAGCAGTGTGCAGGAAACGCTGGAAGGGAGGGGGAGGAGCGGGGACAGGGCATACTTGGGGGAGAGGGTGGAAAGAGGGGGGGTTGGGTCTTGGGGGAAGGGGTGGAGTGGGGGCGGGGCCTGGGGCTGAGTGGGGAGCTTGGGGGTCCGTGAAAAATTTTAAATCAAAATGGGGGTCTTCGGGTTGCTAAAGTTTGAGAGCCGTTGCATTAGGTGTGTATCTGCATCTTTAGGCACCTACATACCTTTAAAAATCTGGCCCAACACCACTATTCTATAATATGGTAGAGGAGCTATTTACAGAGACTGCTAACTTTTCTAAATAATTTAGGGATGAAATTTATCTTTCTTAATCACAGTTGGTAAATTTAAAGAACATGGTTTTAGCCACACAAGGTATCAATGCATTGAATTTGATTGCTTATTTTGTTTCTTTCAAACTGTACTTTAAAATCAAGTTGGCAATGAAACGTTCAAATGTGCTTCAAAGTCACATTGCAACTATCAAATGCAGATTTTGACATGTAAATACTAAGCATATTCTAAATAAAAGAAAACTAGATACATGTTCTACTGCACTGACATGTGAAATTTACCTTACATTTTCTGACTGATCCATGTCTTCTAATCTAGATTATAAAACAGAGTGCTATGAGTACATACACATAGTCTCGTAGCTCTTCAGCATACAGTAAATTTATTGTGAAGATTACTTTTACCCAAGTAGTGTGGCTCTCTCTTTAACCAGAGGACACGCTCTCATTCTCCGCAGTGCTAAAATGGCCTTACATGCTTCTCTTTACCTTCCTATTTAGCCCTGTGGGTTTTTGTTGCCTTTTACACTGTTTCAGTTTTTATTGGAACATGTAGTCTTTGTTTGTATCTTAAGTGCTTTTTGCAGGTATTACTGAATTCAAACAATTTTCTTTAACTCCTTTTGCATTCTCAGAGAGTTTTATTTTCTGAAGTCCAGTATTTTGCTGTTATAATTCTTTCTACAGAAACTCATCAGAATTTACAACCTGATGGAATTATGGTTGATTCCATCTTGAGAGGACAGCAGTGTTAAGGCCAGCATGTCCCTGCAGCCCGCGCCACTTCTTCACAACATTATTTTTACAAGGTCCGGGTTATCTGTAGAAACACCTTCTAGTCTCCCATCTAATTTCTCCAAGAAATCTAGAGAACAACCAAGGATCATCTATTTTTATCTTATTCTTCAATCCAAATGGTCTGTGCTGTGTAACCAAAACTCTAATCAAGAATAAATAAATGTATCCTAACATTTGGGGAGACACAAAAATAGTTGGTATAAACAGGGGTTTGGCCCTGGAGTGCAGTAAAGTAAAAGTATCCCATCCAACTTTGAAAACCTCAAGGATATAATTGAGCTTCCATTTAGCAGGGTTGTATAGCATCTCCTTCTGTAAACAAGGTTTCCTGTACTGCAACCCCTCATCTTGCTTTGTTTTTATGCCCCTTCAGTAAACTTTCTTTATTATTAATTTCATCTCCCAACTGAATGTCTTGGTTTAACCAAGTCTCTATCATTCTGGTTATATCACACTTCCTGAAAACATTCAGTATGCTACTAGCATTTGTAGCAAGGACATTTATCCTTTACTTCTTTCACTCTTTTCTACTGGTTTCATTTTACCTTAAGAAAGTTGCCTTGGTGCCGGACCAACCTTTTGTGTATCTCTCACATCCACTGTTGAAAGAGTCAGCCTGGAAATTCCATCTATTATGCCCTACACACTTTAAAGAACAAGTACTTTCCAATATGCACCTGTGTGTCTACCTCCCTATACAAAGCCTTTCGCTGACAAAACAGGAGATGTACACACTTGACAAAATAAAACCACCTCAATGAGAGGCTGTGATATTATCTGATTAAAATAGGACCGTATAGATCATTGTTGTAACCACTGTTATATATTTGCAACAAATCTTGTACAAAGGTTGTCAAGTAAGGTGCCTATGGAAAGGTTATGATTATGCTATTTGTATGTATCATTTTTGTATGTGAAGTTATGAGTATTGGCTCTATCCCTATATTTCAAATGTTTGCTCCTGGGGTAACGCCCACAAGGTATTTAGCCTGCACATCTTGAAGGAACTATTCAAGTAAAATGGCCCATTAAAGAACACTTAACTTACAATGGAAGACGCCTATCTACTCTTAATGGACTTTCCTGCTGTGACTAGGCAAAATCATGCATGGACATGTGACTTGTCCATGCGAGTTCAAACACCATCTTGTTACTGTAATTTTCCACAGTAAGAACAATGGGATTCCCTCACATGGCAGAAGATATAAAAGGCACTGGAAACATCTCCATTTTGTCTCTATCCTGCTCCAGTCTCTTTCTTGCTCAAGCCTCTTGGACTATGAACTTATACAAATGGAGGCATTCTAACCAAGGAATTGAGGACCTTCCAATGACTTGGAAGCACCCAGAGACTTGACTTAAGCCAGCACTGGTTCACTGCTACAAGCCTAAACCAAGAACTTTGCAATTAATGTATGTATTTGACTCATTTAACTGATTTGAACCCACTTTTCTTTCTTTCTGTAAATAAACCTTTAGGATTTTAGATACTAAAGGATTGGCAACAGCGTGATTGAGTAAGATCTGAGTTTATATTGACCTGGGTGTGTGGCTGGTCCTTTGGGATCAGAAGAACATTTTGTTTGATGAGCCTGGTTTTAAAGAACCACACATCTTTAAATCCAGCGTTTTTGGTGGTGATGCAAGGACTGGAATGCCTAAGGAAACTGCTTTCCGGATTTCTTGTTAGCCAGTGTGGTGAGACAGAAGTTTACTTTCATTGCTGGTTTGGTAGATCTTATGGAGGAATAAAAAACAGTTACTCACTTCTCGCAACTGTTGTTCTTTGAGATGTGTTGTTAATGTCCATTCCAATCAGGTGCGTGCGTGCGCACGTGCACGTTGGCCAAAAGATTTTTCCCCTAGCAGCATCCATCGGGGGTCGGCCTGGGCGCCTCCTGGAGTCGTGCCATCATGGTGCCCAATATAGAGCCTTGCCGACCCGCCACCCCTTCCGTTCCTTCTTGCTGGCTACTCCGACGGGGGTAGGAGAGTGGGTATTGGAATGGACATGAACAAACACATCTCGAAGAACAGTTATGAGAAGTGAGTGACCGTTTTTTCTTCTTTGAGTGCTTGTTCATGTCCATTCCAAATCAGGTGACTCCCAAGCCAAATTTAGGAGGTGGGGTCAGAGCTGTCCACTGATTGGAGTGCTGCTCTTCTGAAGGCCGCATCATCTCTGGCTGCCGGGTGATTGCACAATGTGCAGCAAAAGTGTGCATAGAAGACCATGTTGCCCCTCCGCAGATTTCCTGGGTGGGAACTTTAGCCAGGAATGCCATCAATGAAGCCTGTGCAAGCCTACAGAACACGTTGTAGAGCGGGTCTGAAGTCAGGGCCCTGAGCTCAGACACCCTCCTGGCCCAGGTTATTGCCACCAGGTACGCAACCTTGTAGGAGAGAGCAGAGAGCATGTTGCTAAAGCTCAAAGGGCCCCCCCCCCCATGAGCCTAGAGAGGACCAAGTTGAGGTCCCAGGCAGGGACTGGTTGACAGACATGAGGGTACAACCTGTTGAGCCCCTTTAGCAATCGGCCAATCATAGGGTTAGCGAAAACCGAGTGGCCCTGTATGCCCGGGTGGAAGGACGAGATGGCAGCCAAGTGCACTCTTATAGAAGGCAACAAGAGACCTTCCTGCTCCAGATGTAGAAGGTAGTCTAGAATGTGCGGCACCAAGGCTAGCGTCGAGGGCAAGTCGCGCTGCGCTTTTCCAATCTGAAAATCTCTTCCACTTCGCAAGGTACGTGGCCCTCGTCGAGGGTTTCCTACTGCCAAGGAGGACCTGTCTGACCTGGTCTGAACAGGAAAATTCTGACAGATTCAACCATGGAGCTTCCATGCTGTAAGATGGAGCGACTGAAGGTTTGGGTGTTGGAAACGTCTGTGATCTTGTGTGAGAAGGTCCGGGGAGAGCGGCAAGGTAATCGGGGCTTCTACCGACATGTTTAGGAGGGAAGTGTACCAGCGCTGACGGGGCCAAGCCGGTGCTATCAGTATGACCTGAGCACGATCTCTGCGGATCTTGAGCAGGACCTTGTGAACGAGCGGTATCGGTGGGAAGGCGTACAGGAGAGCACCTCCCCAATGGAAGAGGAACGCATCCGTGGTGGAGCCTGTGCTGTGATTCTGGAAGGAGCAGAACTGCTGGCACTTCCTGTTGCGTCGCATGGCGAATCCATCAGGGGAAATCCCCACCTCTGGAAGATTGAATTTGCAACGTCCGGGCGAAGGGACCACTCGTGGCTGTGGAACGACCTGCTGAGGTGGTCTGCTAGCTCATTCTGAATCCCGGGGAGGTACAACGCCTGTAGGTGGATTGAATGTTCTACCCGGAAGTCCCAGAGCATAAGGGCTTCCTGGCACATGGGAGAGGAGCGTGCACCCCTGTTTGTTGATATAGAACATTGCAGTCGTATTGTCCGTCATGACTGATACACATTGTCCAATTAGGTAAGGGCGGAATGTTTGACACGCCAGGCACACCACTCTGAGCTCTTTGACATTGATGTGGAAATGCAGATCTGCTTGCAACCAGAGGCCTTGATTTCTGCGGTCCCCAAAATGAGCTTCCCAGCCCAAGTCCAATGTGTCCATCGCCAACAACAGGGATGGCTGTGGGGCAGCAAAGGGAACCCCTGAGCACACCTGCTGGGCATCGATACACCACCAGAGCGAATCGAGGATAGGGCGAGGCAGGGTCACGATCCTGTCCAAGTTGTCCCGGGCTGGGTGATAAATTGATGCTAGCCAAGACTGGAGCGGCCGAAGCCTGAGTCTGGCATGTCATACCCCGTATGTACGGGCTGCCATGTGCCAGAGAAGCTTCAGGCAGTTTCTCGTAGTGGTGGGAAACTGCATGACTCCCCAAATCATGTTGTTGAGGGCTTGGAGCCTCACCTGTGGGAGGAATGCCCTGGCTTGGGTCAAGTCCAGTACTGCCCCTATGAACTCTATCCTCTGGATGGGAGACACAGTCGATTTTGCTTCGTTTAGGAGCAGACCCAGGTTCTCAAAGGTAGCTCTGATAAATATGACCTGAGTTTCCACTTGGATCCTGGAGCGGCCTTTGATCAGCCAGTCGAGGTACGGAAACACCTGTACCTGATGCCTCCGCAAGAACACGGCGACGACTGCTTTGCACTTGGTGAATACTTGAGGCGCTGCTGACAGGCCGAACGGGAGGACAGTAAATTGGTAGTGAGAAACCATTGACCACAAACCTGAGGAACTTCCTGTGGTTGAGAGATTGCAATGTGAAAATATGCGTCCTTCAAGTCGATGGAGGCCAAGGAGACCATGCGGAACTTGAGTTTCTTCACAAACTTGTTGAGCTCTTGCAGGTCCAGGATAGGCCTGAGGTTGCCTTTGGCTTTTGGTATTAGGAAATACTGGGAATAGAAACCCTCGCCCCTGTGCTCCAGAGGAACCTCCTCCACTGCCCCTAGTGACAGGAGCAACTGCACCGCCTGTATGAGAGGAAGATTGTGAGAAGGTCCCTGAAGAGGGACGGGGAAGGGGGGTGGAACTGCAGGAGGGCACAAAATTGGATGGAGTATCCCCTCTCTACTGTGCAAAGCACCCAGCGGTCCAAGGTGATACGGGACTATGCATGGTAGAAAGGGGATAGTTGGGAGGAAAAGGTAAGGCAGGTTAGATCCAGTTCATGATCTGGTGCACCGTCCTCGACCGCACCTTCAAAAGGCTGGTTTAGGGCCAGAGGGCGGTTTGGGCTGGCCAGAGCCCTGGCTCGAGGATGGGTGTTGCCTCCTCCTGCCACTCCTGTTCCTCCTCCGAGAACCGTCCTGTCGGTTCTGCTGCTGGAATCTCTGAGGAGGTTGCGGGCGGAAGTGTCTCTGCTGCGTGGAGGGGGTATGCAGGCCCAAGGACTTGAGGGTGTCAGAGTCTTTCAGGCTGTACAGCTTCTTATCTGAAAATTCAGATAAAAAAAAAGGGCGTCACCCTCAAATGGAAGGTCCTGAACAGTTTGCTGGACCTCATAGAGTAACCCCAAAACTTGGAGCCAAGCACCCCTCCTCATAGCTACCCCTATCGCCACAACCCTAGTGGTGGCATCTGCAGTGTCTAATGTGGCCTCTAGGGAAGCACGGGAGACTAGCTTGCCTTCCTCCACCAAGGCTGTGAACTCAGTCCGGGAGTCCGAAGGGACAAGCGCCGTAAACTTTGCCATTGCCACACAGGTGTTATACGAATACCTGCTTACAATGGCTTGTAGGTTCGCGATACGGAGCTGCAAACCCCCTGTAGAGTAGACCTTTCTCCCCACAAGGTCTAGTCGCTTAGCATCCCGTTTTTTTGCAGAGGGTCCTTGGAAGCCCTGTCTCTCACGCTGGTTAGCTGCATCGACCACCAGCAAGTCAGGAGGTGGGTGAGAGTACAAATGCTCGAAGGCACGAAATAATGCCTGAAGGGCACGAAATAATGCCTCTCGTTGTGCTTGGCAGTGGGTGGCAAGGAAGCTGGCGTCTGCCACAGGGTCTTAGTGGCATCCACAATGGTCTTTATAAGTGGAAGGGCGATACGCGAGGGTCTGGAGGGTACTAGGATGTCCACCATGGGATCAGCCTCCTCTATCACCTCCTCGGCCTTAATGCCCAGACCCTGGGCGGTCCTACGCAGCAACTGCTGCAGCACCCTGTTGTCCTCTAAAGCAGGGGCTATGGCTGTCCCCGCCAATGCTTCGTCCGATGACGAAGAGGAGGAAACATTTACTAGAAGTGGAAACTCCCTGTCATCCACCCCTGAAGGGTCAAGAGACTCTCGGGGAAGCATTGGTGATAGTGGCGCCACCGAGAGTGCCAGGGCTGTAGACATCGGCGCACACATTGGCCCCGCCGTCAGTATGACGGGAGGGAGCTGTGTCTGCACGCTCACAGGAGCCAAGGGAAGTGGAGGGCCAGGTGCTGACATCGGCACCGGGGCTGCCGGTACTGGCATCGAGGTCAACGTCGACAACGGTGCCAGCATGTGAGACGTGTGTGAAGACGCTGCCAAGGGCGATGCCAAGGTCAGAGCCAAGCACGGTGCCATAGTCGACGACAGTGCCAGAGGCGGAGGCGTCGGGACTGCAGGTGCCAAAGGCAGGTGCACAGTGGATGGCGGAACGAAGGTGGCTGAGGACACGGAAGACATCGCAGAGCAGTGACCCTGGGTTCCTCCGTCCTTGGTGAAAGGCCCAAGGGGTCCATAAGGGCCACTGAGGTGGGTTCTGCCACTGTGGAGGCCATGTCTGGGGCTCTCTCCTGTCTCTCCCAGACCTCGATCTGCAACTTCTGCTCCTCCCAGAGCTATAGGAGTCAGACTCTGACTCCGAGGTCTGAGACTGAAGACCACAGAGGAGCCAATCCTCGGTGCCTCGAATGTCGAGAGCTCGGGGAGCGGGTAGGCTCTCTGTCCGAGTGAGTTGGCGCCAAGGGATATGGCGAGGGGGAGCACCTCGTCATCATAGCCGGCTTCCCCTTCCACTGCACTGGAGAATGGGGCAGGTCCGCCAGCGCTGAAGGTTCCTCCCTCCTGGTGGGCGAGAACGGCGCCGTAAGATGCAGGAGGTCCTGAGTAGCTTGATAAACTTCTGGCGTCGAAGGGAGCTGTAGTTGCTGTGTAGGCACCGGCGACCAAGGCAGGGCCGGACTCGACTGCCTCACTTGGGCAGGAGTCGACACGGCCCCGGCAGGAGATCCAGAGGAGTGGCCTGCCTGGGGGTCTCACGTCTCTTGGTTTAGCCAGAGAGGAGCAATTGTCCAGCTTCTTCTTTAGAGGCACCGGCAAGTGGGAACGGTGCCTACTATCAGACGGGCCACGTGAGGAGCCATGTTGCTGCCGAGCATCTTGGGAGGGGTCCTTTCTCGGCACCGAGCTCAACGACAGTGCCGGGGCGCTCCACGTCGAGGATGACGTATTAGGGGTCAGGTCCCCTGAGCCCAGGTCAGAGTGGGGGTGTAGAGCTGCCTCCACGAGGATCACCTTGAGCTGCTGTTCCCTTTCTTTAAGAGTTCTCTGACAGAACTCACCGCAGATCTTACAGTGATCTTTTTGATGGGTCTCCCCCAGGCACCATAAACACAACGAGTGCAAAACACTCTTCGGCTTGCGCTTCGCGCAGGCCACACAGTTTTTAAAACCCGGGGATCGCAGCATACCACGGTTCCAGGGAGGAGGGAACCCCAACAAGCTCTACACTAAGAACATTAACTAACTAACTGTATACAACCAGAGAAAGAATGAGCTTGCTGAGCAAGAGCTAAGGGAAGTTCCAGCCACCATCACTGGCAGTAAGAAGGAACTGCAGGGGTGGCGGGTCGCCAGAGCTCTATATTAGGCACCATGAGGGCGCAACTCCAGGGGGCGCCCAGGCCGACCCGACGGATGCTGCTAGGGAAAAAATCTTCCGGCCAACGTGCACATGCGCGCGCACACCTGATTGGAATGGACATGAACAAGCACTTGAAGAACCACCTGTTTGGGGTGAGCCTGCCCTATTTCTCAGCAGTTTGTCCTGAATTTGGTATTCTCTGTTGTGACCCACAACGGCATAAAGCTCTTTGCGGCAAAGTGTCAGTGTAGTCACTACTGTTTGTTTTGTGAACAGAACTGGCTTCCACCAGTATCCCACAATGCCTGCCGTGACCGCTCTGCTCACTGTTTTGATCTCTGCTGCCCTGCAGGCATGCACCCCACCCCTTTCAAAGCACTCAGAAATATCTGACAGCTGAGCTTGCTGCTTCCTTTGGGGAAAAAAGAGCAAATCAAGAATGTGGAATGGTCCTGTTCTTCCCTGCACAAGGAACACAGTAGCAGGCAGACTGCTGCTGCAGGGAGCTGGAGAAGTGGGGGGAGGGAGAAAAGGAAGGAAATGCTATGCTGCTTCGCCATTCCTCAGCACCGAAAGCTCCCAGATTTGCTCAGGATGCCGCTTCCAGCAGCTGAGGAGATTGTGGGAGAACTCAGAGGGAATCACAGAACCACAGGCAGGCAGAGCGGGCTGCTTCTGGAGAGACTGCTGTGCTGTGCAGAGCCTGCGGCTGATGTGGGGAGGTCCCCCTCCCCCGCCTCAGAATAGGCGGGTCAGCCTGCTGTCTCCCTGACCCCAGGCACCCCAGTCTCCTCCCCTCCCTTCCCCCCTCCCCCACACACACTTCAGGGGTGAAAGCGCCTGACAATCTATTAGGATGCCCCTGGAACAATGGGACTGAGAAACCTGCAACACATAATGTTGCACCTGCCCCATGGGGCACCGCAAACCCTTCCCAAAGCACTCTGCAGCCAGTTGCATAGTGGGATAATTACCACAGTGCACTGCTCTCAGGTGATGCAAGAGCTGTAAGAGGGGATGCACTCTGCTGACACAAGGAGCTAATGTGGACATGCAACAGTGGTTTTAATTAAAGCGGTACAACTTTTGCCAGCAAAACTTTGCAGTGTAGACAAGGCCTTAGAAAGAGAGGAAGTTGGAAGTACAAGAAGATGGCTGCACGGAGGAGCTCTAAAGTCACTCTCTAGAGAAGGGTAAGTTGGCTAAGTACAAGGAGCAGTTCTATAAGGGCTTGCATCCATTGCCGCTCGTCAGTAACTGTAGACATCGGCAGTCGATTTAGTGGGTCTAGTGAAGACCCGCTAAAGTCGACTGCAGATCGCTCTCCCGTCAACTTCTGTACTCCACCGGATCGAGAAGAATAGGGGGAGTCGATGGGAGAGCATCTCCCATCGACATCGCATAGCGTGGACCCCCGCAGAAAGTAGATCTAAGCTACGTCGATTTGAGTTACGCTATTCACGTAACTCAAATTGCGTAACTTAGATCGAATTTCCCCTGTAGCGTAGACAAGATCTTAGTCCTTCAATCCTGCCTTGGGCTACAGACTTTGGCAAGAAGATAGGAGGGATTAGGTAGGCATGGGGGAGTGTAGGAAGTACTAGTATTAACCAAGAGGTGATCCAGAAGATTGAGAAGAGAGGTAGGAGGGAATCCAGGGGAACAGCAACAGGGTTGGCATTTGAGCAGACTGTGGTTGTTGGGCATAGAGTCCCTGGGTTAGGACCTGAAGTAGTGGGCAGGCACAGGTTCCCCTATAAGCCACTGGGAAAGTGACACAGAAGTGGATCAGAAGACTGCCTGAGACTTCAGACAGACAGTTTGTCCAGTGGGACTTTGATACCCCTGGAAGAGGAAGACTATAGTGACCCAGCAGGAGGGCTGAGTCACAAATAGAGAGCTGGAGCTGCCACGGGCCAAACAAGCAATGGAAGGAGGTGCTAGACCTGATGAGAGCTGATCCCTAGACCCAGCCATGAGGAGGCATCACAACAAGTGTGCCCATTACAGCACCACTCAACTATTCCACTCCTATGGTCTTGCTCATGAACTCACCACCTTCCCCAGTGCCCAGGAAGATTCCAGATCCCTAAAAGAAAGGTTAGAACTAGACAGGTGAACAAAATAAACTTACTCATCAACTTGTGATTCTTCCTTAGTGCAGCATCTATTCAATTCATTTCGTTTTATAATCATGATGATAGAACAAACAAGGACAGGCAGAAAGAGACAGAAACTTAGCAGAAGCCAGTTCTTCAAAGTGTTCCAGTAAAGTCCGTCAGTGATTGCATCTATCAAGGAAAGAAATATATCACAGATCTTTATGATCTGGGAAGTGGGGCCTCCAACCAGAGGAGACATTATCCTGTATTTACCTGTTAGTGACAGAAAGGAATGGAACAAAAATGTGAACATAGCAGACACGTGAAACCTGAAAACATGAGATTCCCCAAACTGTCACACTTTCAAAAAGGATGCTTTGAACAAGCAAGATACTTTGATACTTTAAGGAATGATTGCAAATAATGTTCAAAACATGGTACAATTACCAGCTGGTATTCAAAAGTAGTTCAGGACCAGAATAGCACACTATTCTATTGTAGGACTGAAATGCATTAGCACAGCTATGATCAATAAAGTCACTTAACATGTAATTGAGATTAGATTTTAAATCAGATCTGTCATAGTAAGAGTCTTAGATTCCACATTGTTACTTTATAACAGCCAGTTGACTGTATGTAATCAAGATAGTATAATACATGATCACTTTCTTGTATCCAATAGCAATTTGTTTATTAAAATGCTGTTATCCATACTATTAAAGTAATAAAATAAAAAGAAAGAATAGTATTAAACTTTTCTCTTCTTTTTCACATTTAAAATGTAGAACCTCAGTTTATGCATTTCCCCTTATGACTCAAACTCTTAACTGTTCCATGGTATATATTTCAGATATTTTTTCTTTTTTTAGTAATGGAAAAGTACAGAGAAGGGCAATAAAATGATTCGGGGTATGGAACAGTTTCCATAGGACAAGAGATTAAAAGAACTGGGACTGTTCAGTTTATGATAGAGATCTATAAAATCATGAATGGTGTGGAGAAAGTAAAGGAGTGTTATTTATCTCTTCACATAACACATGAACCAAGGTCACCTAATGAAATTAATAAGCATCAGGTTTAAAAACAAATATAAGGAAGTACTTCTTCACATAACGCACAGCCTACCTGGGGAACTCATATTTGGGTTCAAAAGAGAATTAGATAAATTCCTGGAGAATAGGTCCATCAATGGCTATTAGCCAAGATGGTCAGTGATGCAACCCCATGCTCTGGGCGTCCATAAACCTCTGATTGCCAGAAGCTGGGACTGGACGACAGGGATGGATCACTCAATAAATTGTTCTTGTTCTGCTGGATGACAGGATACTGGGCTAGCTGGACGATTGGTCTGACCCAGAAAGGCCATTCTTATTTTCTTAAATGTTGCACTGGGAAAACAACAACACAGGGTACAGAATTTTCCAAGATAACTAACCACTTTTGAAAATACTGTCAATACTCCCTCCAAATCCTTTTGATGAAATTTTGCAATCTGGTGGCAGCCAGCCAGACCTACAGTGACAATTTCCTCTGTTGTTGCACACCTGAAATAAAAGGGGGAAAATGCTGTTTAATTACTTATTATACTTTGTAGTTGGAAGTCTCAAAATATGAGGAAATCCCATTATACATGCTTTTAGGAAACAGTTTCTCTTAGAGATCTCTCTTCTTTATAACCACATTCTCAGTTCTTAAAAACTAATCAGTCTGTTTCAGAAAATACATCAAATGTAAAGTACCACAGACTATTGTCTATAAAGAAAACCATGAATACGACTCTAAGTATCAGGAAAAACCAAACCAATCAGCCATGGCACGAAGACTTTGCATGCCAAGTGTCAGCCTAAAGTAGCTTTTTCAGTTGACGATTTATAAGAAAAATATCTGCAAATCCAAAATATTATTAATCCAAACAGTATTATTATAATAATGTTGCTGTTACTTACTCCATGGTCATTACATTTTTTCTTTACATCACAATTATATTTCAGGACAGCAGCATCTCCACATTTCTGGTTCATACAAATCTAAAACCCAAACATAAATACAGTTCAAGGTCAACAGAAAGCATAGAAAAAAAATTCTCTAGGTTTAAGTGTCTTTTTCAGGCTGTTTAAGAGCAGAAAGCTGTTTACCAGATCCTATTTTACCTCAAAATATTTGGAAATAGTTCTTGGTTAGTTTAGAGTAAACCAGGGGACAAAACAGTTAATTTTATAACTCAGTAAGCCAGTGCAGCTCATCACTGCTCCAATATTAGTAGCAACTTCTAAAAAAAGTGTATTTTTACATGGAAAACATTTACATTGCTAACCGTTTAAAAAAAAAAAAGATTTGTTACCTTTTGCTTACCACAGAGAGTACCATCCTTCACCAACATTGGATCCTTCACTCGAGGCCCCTTCATATAATCTAAAGTTATGCATAAGGAATTCTGCACCCTAGCATAAATGACAGCAGCCTTTTCCTTAATGAATGGTCTATGACTTGGATATTGACAAACTAACTTCCCACACTGGAGATCTCTACAAACATATGAGAAGAAAATTAAAACTACATATTTGGCATTTGACAGTTCAAAATATTAGATATTCAAGCATACCATAATTTCTGTGAGAAGGGATAACTATACTCTGTACAGAGGTTTGCTTTGGTTCCTTGATGCAAAACACCAAGCAAAACACCAAGCTTGGGATGGATTCTCCAGGAGAATCCACCTCAAGCTTGGTAAGTTATTTCAATGGCTAATTACCCTTACTGTTAAAAATGTGTGCCATATTTCCAGTCAGAATTTGGCTATTCAACTTCCAGCTATTGGATTTTGTTACACCTTTGTGTGCTAGATTGAAGAGCCTATTATTAAATTTGCATTCCCCATGTATTACTTAAAGAAGTACTGCTACGACATATATAAAACACAGGCAAAGAGACTGTTGCACATGTGAAATATTCCATGCACAGTAAAAAAAGGGGTTTTAAAAAATTAGTGTCTAGGTTCCTCCTCCATGTGAAGCACTTTCCCAAAGCATCCCGATACTCTGGCAAAACCAGAGGGACACCTGAGAGAACACTTCTTCCCACATAATACGACAATGATAGCTGATATTTTCTTGCCAGAAGTCTCTAGATTTACATATCACTGACTGAGGACAGGCTGTTCTTACTAGAGGGACCACAATGCGGGAATTTGTTTCCTGTGTTGGCCCAATGAAGCGTGAATTTTACTCCTGAGGGCATTCTGCGCCAAAAAATTAAAAATTCTGCGCAAAAAAAAAAAAGCCATGCACAATATTTTAAAATTCTGCAAATTTTATTTGTCAAATAAATATGGAGGCTCTGGCATGGCACTGGGGAGCATAGGCCACTGGCAGCACAAAGGTGGGAGATCACTGTGCAGCCCCCCCGGGACATGGACTCAGCAGTGAGGCTGCACCCAACCCTGACACAGCACAAAGACCAGGCTTTCCCCAGAGCCCTGCCCTTCCATGTGGGCAGGCAGGCTCAACAAGGCAGGATTCAAGTGTGGAGGGGCTTAGCGTGGGGGGACCCAGGTGTGGTTTGAGAGGGTTCTGCATTGGGCAATCTGGGTGTGGGTGGCTCAGTGTGGGGAGGATCTGGATGCACAGGGGCTTGTTGGGGGGTTCTGGGTGCAGTGGTAATGGGACTCTGGCAGGGGGTCCAGATGAAGGTGGTTGGAGCTCAGCGGGGAGGGGGTCTGGGGGGGGAGATTGAGCTTGGCAGGGGAGGCTCAGGGAGGGGGTCCAGATGACTTGTCAGGGTGGTGCAGGGGAAGTGAGGCTCATCAGAGTGAGTTCTGAGTGCAGGGGGGTGAGGCTTGGCAGGAGGGTCTGGCTGCATGGGGGCTGGGCAGATGGGAGAGCAGCTTCCTGTACAGGGATCCCTCCCCCTGCAATTAAGGAGCTATGGGTGCAGGAAGTGGTGGGGGGGGAGGAATTTGCAGAGTTTCCTGCAGCTGGGGGAGAAATCTGGGGGTGGGTCTGGCCTGGGTCCAGATCGTGCAGGGGAAGAGGAAGTCTCATCCTCACTAGCCCAGCCGGAACTAGCAGCGGAGCATGGTGCAGGGTAGGAGCCACCAGCCAGGTCTTCCCCAGCCCCACAGTGAAATACCTCTCTACCAGTTCCCTGGGCACCCCGAAACATACAGCTGGGGAGGGTTGCATGACCACTCTTTTTTGCTCCCTTTGCTTCCCCATCAGAAAGTCATTTTTCTGCAGGGAAGCAAATCTGCAGGGGACATTAATTCTATGCATGCGCAGTGGCGCACAATTTCCCCAGGAGTAGAATTTGCTAGTCTTGACTCTTCAGGGTATGCTGCAAAGTCCACCAATCTACTCAGACTTCTGCTTGAAATAAAGTGGTTATGTTTGCAAGGACTCTCTGGGTCACTGGTTAGGAATGACATTTTTCGCTGAAGAGGCGCTTCAGGTAGGAGAGAGGCTCCTGCAATAGAACCTGAAGCAGAGGGATTGAAGTGCATGGTGTGTCCTCCTTTCAGTACTGAGAGAACCAAATGGGGAAAAAGCCTGTAGGAGCTGTAGCCTATGGTGGGCAGAGAAACTGTTTTGGTTTGATACTTTGCCTGAGTTTTCTGCTAAAGAATAAAGCTGTGCCCTGAAAAAAAACATGGGCATGGCAGTGAACTCTTTCTGAGCTGGGAAAACAGGCCAGCAGCTGTTTACATATAGTAAAAGTTCAGAAACAAACCAGATAAAAATTTTCAAAATCCAAGTTACTTTCAACACAATCAGCCAAGATGCCATGCTTCATCTTGTACTTCTCCCTATAGGGAGACATTTCTATTTCTCAAAACATACTTCCATTCGCAAGCCTGGTAACCGTCCTGATTGGAGCCGCAGTGTCCCATCCTATCCTTTTGACCATTAATTTCTTCATAACATGCGAGAGAGCCACTTTTTGAAGCTGCAAATACAATAACATTGATTAGACTTCGTCATAGACTTATAGAAGTCAGAGTTGGAAAATGCTTTGCTGGAACACCTAGCACATGCCAGTGCAGAATTGTTCTCTGCACTGTCGAGTCTACTTTGCAGGTCATAGACACAGGGCTGCTTCAAGCCAAACTCGGGCTTCCTTCACAGCTATTCAGTCATGGCCTCCTCCTAGAACAAGTGGGTGACCGTCTCTTTTTCATAAGTCCCAAAATGCTCTGCCAAGGCTGACTTCAAGACACAGGCAGAACAGGCAGTTGCCTAGAGCAGCAAAAATTAGTGGCAGAAAAAAGTACAGGAATTATTTATTTGGGTGACTATAGATTGGTAGAGGTATCTATTCACCTAGATCAGCAGAACCTCAAGCCAATCCAGTGCTCTACTATAGGAAGGTATGTGTCTCAGGTGTGGTACTGAGAGTGTTTGACAACCATTGGAAATGTGTCAAAAATGTGTGTAAGTTGTTTCTGGAGTTAAAGGAATAGGTATGGAGATTTCCTATTAAACAGAAGATATGGAGAATGTGGGTGTAAGATAACACACTTAAGGCCACTAGAAACTCTGTTCAGTCACATATATAATAGGAAATGTTCTAATTTACAGGCTAACCTGGAGTATCCTCAGCAAGTTTCTGAAGCTAAATTAGCTTCACAGGGATTTAACCAGGCCTTCATGTGGAACCTGTGATGTGTTCCAGTTAGGGACAAGGAAAGGGCTCCAGTCATTATCACAAGAGTCGGCATGAAGCAGCTTTTATTCCATACAACAGGAGTTAATAACCTGTCCCTGATGGAGTAGGGGGCCTTGCAGCTGCAGGTTGACAGCATTTTATGAACCAGATCAGCCTGGACAAGGATGGCAAAGAACCATCAGATCATCTCATTAGGGTTACTAATATAATAATGTTTACAACAACTGCTATAGTTATGCTTGCAAAACACTTTGCATGATAGCCTTAATGTGTGGTATGCATCTTTCTAATTTTCATAAAATGTGCGTGTAAGATAACACACTTAAGGCCACTAGAAACTCTGTTCAGTCACATACATAATAGGAAATGTTCTAATTTACAGGCTAACCTGAAGCTAAATTAGCTTCAGAGTGAATTAACCAGGCCTTCTAATTGTTCCAAACCAACCAAAGCAACTTAAATGATTTTAGAAAGTCTATGATATGGTTAAAAAAACCAAAAACTCTTCATACCAAAATACCACTGCCATTATCTCCTCTCTACTCCCCCCAACCAAAATGCCATCTGGACTTAGGGGAATGTGCAGGCTGCTAGGATACAGGTAGTCATGAGTTCTAGTCTCACCCTTTACACTGACTGGTCTTAATAAATCTCTGCACTACATACATGTATTTTATGTAGGAAGCTTCACAGCACCACCAGCGGTATAAAATATAGTTATCCATATTTTACCCATGTAGTCACTGAACCATAAAAAGGTTAAGGGAAATACTCAAAGTTACTGAGAAAGTTTGTGGCTGAGCTGTGAACAAAACCCAGATCTTTGATGCAATAAACCCAAGTCTTATCCAACAGACCACAGAGCGTCCAGGCAAGTTGCCTCAAGTATCTGTGCCTAATTATGTCATTTGTGACAAATAATAATTATCCACCTTCATAAGGCAGAAACACTGACGACAGCAGTCTCTAGAATTAGATTTTGGAAACAAATAACTATCATTATTACCTTGACCAAAGAGTTTTTTACACTGTTTATCAGCAGTTTGGCACACTCCTTTGAAACAATAGGCTGTGTTCTGGTTGCATGGGTGTCCATCCATGACCCAGAAGTCAGGTGTACAGTGTGCAGAGGAACCATTGCAATACTCTATTAGATCACACTCATCTTCGCTAGTGCTTCGACATAATGTACCATTTCGCACAAACTAGTAGGAAAAAAACAGAAATAGGAGGCCTGTGCATGACATATAGAAAGGTTATAACTAGAGCTGTGTGGAGGACAGAAATTTGCAAAGGATTTCAAGATTTTCATACCTATCTTCTGATTAGGAACAACACCCCTACACTTCAAATTTCTCTATGAAAGAAAATCGCATGGGGAAAATCATTTAAAGTTGATTTAAATGTTTCATTTTGATTTCACAATTTTTATTTTAATATTATATAATATAATATCAAATAAAAATATTAAAGACAAAATTGAAATTATATTGTCAGAATTCTTTTCCCTTGTTTTCTTTTTAAATTTAGACAAAATTTACATGATTTTGCAAAGCATTTAGACTTTGACAGAACTGCACTCTCTGGTTGAAAATGGTTTCACTGACATTTTTCCAATCAGCTCTAATTATAACTACTAAGGAACAGAATTTATGCGAATCACAATATTTGATATTTATACTGATTAGTCAACATAACAAGAAAACCTAACAACTAGAAACACTTTTTTTAATATAAGAAAGCTAAGTCTTTCAGCTTTTTGTTTTTAAAAACAAGTTTTTGCTTTGATGACTTGAGTAACAAAAAGCTGATCCCATGAAACAAAGTGAAGATCAGCTCCCTTTTTGGTCATTAGAGTCATTGGCCTCTGCTTAACTCCTATGGCATGTGCACGCTCAGACAGAGTATTAAGTACATGTTTATACAACTGCTTCCATCAGGTCTCATTTACAATATTGCCTTGAATTATCAATATCATTTTGACAATATTTTAGGTAACTCGATATGTCAACAGTGACTTGTTCTCTGGTTCTTTCTGTATATAAGTATAGAAAGCAATAATATATAGTATGCACAGTTTGCTCCAATCCTAAATACTGAACTGGATTATTCACATACTTAAAAGTTAAGCATTAAGTATCTGCAGTATCGGGGCTATTGTTAGATATGTGGGTTATAGTTAGAAAATGTGTTAGGTTCTGATCACTCAGAATGTATAGCTTACCCTACATTTCCAACAACAATCTCCAGTGATACATTTGATGTCTCGTCTAAATTTACAGGTGCGTTGGCAACACGGATCCCATAGACATTCCTGAAAAACAAACAATAGAAACATTATAGATTTTAGAATATACCACATTTTAATCCTGGCAAAAGAGACCAGTTTGGTGGCCCTGGAAACTGAAGTCTCTCCCCTCCCGCCCCCCCAAGGAAAGAAGTTAATTAAAAGTCCCTTTCTGACAGGAGGCGTTTCAAAAACATTCTCAAGGGGGCGGTTTGGAGGAAGTTCCCAAAGCCTCGGCTCACGGCTTACTGAATAATGCCAAGGACCCAGGTATCTGAAGTCACTAAGCTTTGGCAGAAGGCTTCTGGAAGTATCAGTAGTAGTAGCAGTTCCAAAGGTTGCATGCGGTGGAAGTTGACACTTTAACATCTGCACTTGAGGCCACAGTGATATTTTAATCCTTGTACTGAAGCATGCAACATGGAAAGCGCTGATGCGTTCATCTATCTAGACTACAAACAGAGTTCAAACAGCCACAGCGAACCAGACGTTATTTGACAAATAGGTCTTGCCACCTCCTCTATGAAATCCAGGTCTCAATTATGAACGCAAAAATATCATTGCACTGAGACAAAGTTCAGGATTTATCAAATCTGTGTACTACCTGTATTGCTATATAGGTCAGAAACCTGGAGCCTCTTGCAGGCAGACTTGGAGCAGCTAGAGGCATTCCATATGTGCTGTCTGAGCCAAATCTGAGTACAAAGTGGTTTGACTTTGTGCGAAATGTCACAATCTGACAGAGATTCGACCTTCCTTCAATAGCTCATTATATTCAAAAGCAACATTGCATGCTCTTCAGCCAAGACACCAGAATGGACAAAAACACCCCAGCACAGCATGCTCTCAAACTCTCCATTGACACATGAAGGGGTGTACATCCTGAGCTACCCGGCGCCATCCATGAGGCCACCCCAGAAATTCATGGATTCGCATTACTGAGCCAGATCTGGGAACTTCATTATACAATGCCTGGTGCGATGCTATCAACCATGATCAGTCTGGCTGGTGCAACAGTCCTCCACATACTGTATGTGTTTGACCATCATGGTGAAGCTCACTCCTTCCAGTTCTCCCATCTCCCAGCCTGTAGTGGTTGACAAACAGCCTGATTCTTCACCCAAAGTCTCTTCTTCTAGGGACCCCAAAATGGAGTGGTAGGCAGAATAGCTCATCTTCTCTTTATTCAATACACCAATTAGGCCTAGTTTCTGACACTCCAATTTTTGTTCGTTACTTTCTGGTTCCACACTTCTCATTTGCCAGACATGATCTTAACACAGTCCTTTAATAGGCTTTTTTGTTTGGACTAATTTAGTCATTCTGTCTCCTTTTACATATTTTTCCAACAATATTTTGTTATAGGCATTATTACATTTTATGAACTTTCACTTCTCACAGCTGAGTCCACAAATAAGGTAAATTTTAATTTGTAGGCCCAATTATTACAACACCTCCTGCATAACACAGGTTATAGAAATTCCCAATATATTTCCTGTTTGAACTACAGCAAACCTTTTAGAAAAGCATCCAATATTGATTTTTAAATGGACAGTGATAAGAGAATCCACCATCATTTTTGGTAAGTTATTCTGTAGCAAGGTCGAGACTCACCGGTGTGGTGTCTCCTGCTGGTCGCCCTGGGAATTAGCTCTTCTCCAGCCTTGGAGCGCCCTCTGCCAGCCGGTGGCTCACCTGCTTCTGGTCTCCGTGTCCCTCCCATACCCTGGTGCCCCTTTACCTTGGGGTTCTGCCCCAGCAGTACCCCCACACTCTGGGTCTCCCCTCCCAGGGGAACCCCCAACCCTCTGAGCCCACCTTGCCTCAGTGGCTACTGCCAGTCGTCATCTAGCCCCTGTTCTCTGGGGCAGGCTGCAGTCTGTAATGGCCGCTCATCACTGGCAAGGGGGTAGGACCAGCTGCCTCTGCCTATCCCTGGGCTACACCTCTGTAACCCCAGTCCCTGCTTAGGCCTTAACCAAGGCCTCACCCTGGAGCTCCCCAGCTCCTCTTGCCTTTCCCCAGCACTGCTCTGCTCTGCATCAGGTACCCTGTGCTCCCAGGCAGCTAGGTCCTTCTCCCTCCAAGGCTGGAGAGAGACTGTGACCCAGCTCCTCCGTTAGGCCGTCTTATACTCCCAGCCTGGCCCTGATTGGCTGCCTCAACCCTGCACTTAATTGGCTCCCCGGGGCAGCCCTTTCCCAGGACTGTTTTTAACCCCTGCCGCACGGGAGAGGGGTGACCGCCCCTGTACATATTCCAATGGTTAATTATCCTCATTGTTTAAAATATGCGCCTCATTTCCAATCTGAATTTATCTGGCTCCAACTTCCAGCCATTGTCTTCCAGACTGAAGAGCCCATTATTAAATACTTGTTACCCATGTGGGTACTTATAGGCTGTGATCAAGTCACCCTTGAACCTTCTCTTTGTTAAGCTAAATAGATGGAGTTCCTTGAGACTATCGCTATAAGGCATGTTTTTCAATCCTTTAATCATTCTCTTGGCTCTTCTCTGAACACTCTCCAATTCTCAACATCCTTCTTGAATTGTGAACACCAGAACTAGATACAGTATTCCAGTAGTGGTCACACCAGGACTAAATACAAAGGTAAAACAACCTCTCTGCTTCTACTCGAGATTCCCATTTATGCATTCAACTACTACATTAGCCCTTTTGGCCACAGCATCGCACTGGGAGTTCATGTTCAGCTGATTATTCACAAAGCCCCCCAATCATTTTCAGAATCACTGCTTTCCAGGGTAGAGTCCCCTATACTATAAGTATGGCTTACACATTCTTTGTTCCTTGATGTATACATTTACATCTGGCAGTATTAAAATACATATTGTTTGCTTGCACCCAGTTTACCAAGCAATTTCAGCTACACTGGTTTAAGTTCTGGTGAAGTGAGGAGGCACTTATAATAGAATCATGCAGTAGCTCCAACCTTAACTACAGAGAGGCTACTGTCTCTGAAATAAGCAGAAAGTCACTACACTGTTTTAAAACTTTAGTACTGGAGAACATTTGCTGACCTACCAGTATCAAACCAAATACTATTAGAATATAAAAACGGTTATGGTTGTTACACATATAACATACCTAATACAAAAACACAAAAGCAAGGAAATTAAAAGTCAAGTCACCTTACAGTACATATCCTTTACTCTTCTACCCACAGGCACACATTTTATCTTCATCACAACAGCCATACACCACAGATCATGAATCGCATCCTTAACTCTATCTCCTCAACCTCCCCTTCTGTGCACATCCTTTTACGGAACGTCCCCATCCCAATGCTATTAGTTGTGAATGTCTAATATAGTATATTTTTGTGTTTGGAAGGAGTAGATTAGTAATGGAAGGCTGTCATCCCCAGAAGGGGCAGATAACATTGTGGTAGATGGTCTCTGCTGTATACTAATTGTAGTAGAGTCAAGGTGTGTGCTTGTAGAGGGAGGAATGTTTTGTTGGGAGGGAGGAGGTTGGTGAAGGGTGTGATAGAAAGCCAGCATGTAGTGTTCTTAACTGTTTTCACAATGAATTTTTTTGTATATATTCATTTCGTAGGGCTTTTATGGGGCTTGATCCTGAAAGGTGCTGAGCTCTATGATCTGAGCCAACAAAGTATTTAACCAAGTGTTTAACTTTAATTACATGAGTAGTTTCATTGACTTTTTCATATTTTTAAAGTTAAGCACATGCTTAAATGCTTCCCTGGATTGGACCTAGAGTACACAGTACCTTGTAGATACATTGAGATTGACACTTGTCTTAACATTTCAGAGAGGAGACAGATGAGTGAAGGAAAGGTATGCCTGGAGGGGTGGTTCCTGGAGCTGTGCGACAGAAGTATAGCTGCCAAAGGAAAAGGTTTTATCCGTCAGAAGCTGCACATAAAACATACTTAGATATGGGATAAAATATGGCATAAAAGCGTAGTTAATGATGGCGGTTTTATCTGTCAGCTACCTGTTGGTGAATAAACTGTCAGTTAAAACAAATAACATCTGTTGCACGAGCTTCCTTCAAGTTTATCAATTTTGAAGATGTCACTTAACAATCAAAAAGGCAGAATGCCATGGACAAATTTTAACAACAGTAATTTCAAATGCTTTCTATTATAAATTTAAAAAATCAAATAAAGCTACATTTGAAATTCAAAGAGAAATTTCACATTGAACGTCTATCTACATTTAGAGAAAAACAGAAATTTATGTTCCATTTTAAAGCCCATTTCAGAACACAACCCTGACTATGAGGCTGAGAAAAAGCACCTCCATAGCATTTCCAAGTTGAATGTTTTTTCTCAAGGGCTCCAGGTGGCCTTTCATCCAGAGGTCTTGTTAGCACTTCTTGGACCCATAAGGTATCTCTTATTTTTTTAATTTTCTCTTCCGTCTCAAGGTATGGAACTGTGAATTATTTATTCATATTAAATTTCAGGAATTTATTTCCTAACCTTTCGTGTGCCACAGTCACAGTCCTCTCCTTCCTCCACTATTTTGTTGCCACAGACGGGAGCCCTATAAGATGCATTCAAATACGGTTTGTTCAAAAGGCATTCTCCTTCTCCACTTGCAATGAAACTTTGAAAGTCTCCTATACTGCAGTTGCTAAAGGTCTTTGTCCCACTGGAATGTCTAAAACATAAAGTACAATATCATCATTAAAGTATTCTCCATGCTTTGTAAAATATATATCCTTTCATGCCACTGAAATACTTTAATAAAACAAAAATGACTTTGGTTGCAAAATTAAGGATTTTTAAAAATATGTCAACTGTTTGCCTTGTGGGTGACTGTGGCTATTAACCTGGCACCTTAAGTGCATTCACTTGCCTTCAACATTCTTCTTGGCTGAAATAAATTAAATAGAACTGGCAACCTCAAATTAAAATAATTTCTCCAAATTGGAGGCCTCTGACCCAGCATGTCTGCCTCAATGAAGGAATAAATATAATTTTTTAAAATATCTTTGCAAGTTTGTGCTAGAATGGTGTTTGGGTCCCAGACAGACTGCATGCTGCAGCCAACTGAGGGCAAGAAGAAGGCATAACATGCAATGGAGGATGCCCTCGTTAAATTAGGAAAACACAAGCAGAACAGCAAAACCTTTCTAAACTGTCATTGTCTCAGTCTCTCCACTAAAGATACTGCAGGCCATGCCTTTTCTGTCTCTTCCAGAACACTTGTTTATTCTCCTCAGTGAAAACTTGACAGCAATTGAGGTTAGTTTAATAGTAATCAATCTAGCAGCTACAATTAGGAAACCTATAATATAAATACCAGATTTTTTTTTCTTTCCTGTCATCAGCGGTTATATTGAATTGAGTGTAGTACCACGTACAAGCCCACTGAGAGAAGTCTGGAGCCCCAGTATATCATGTTTGCTGTGGCCCCATCCCCTCCCATTTCACCCCAGTTCCAGACATTCCAGTTACAAACATTGGGGGGTGGGGCCGAGCTTATGGGGCTGGTACAATTGTCTCCCCTTTCCCTCCTCTTGTCATCATAGACAATAAAGCATCTCACAAGAAGACGGAACTCTCAGTAAATTTAATTTTAATGACACATTACATTATACTAATATTAGAAACATTTAGGCCCTTGAGTAATTTTACATAGTAGAACTAGTCAAGTGAGTAAAGTTACTTACATCCATAAGAGTTTGCATGATTGGGCCCATAGTGAGTACACATCTGTACATAACATAAACTGGAAAGCTTAAAAAAAGGGTGGAGAAAATGGAGAAGTGTGGACTAGTTTTAAACTAAGAGTGATTGAACATTTGAAATTTGATAATAAAAGACCTTATGATCTCTGAAGGTCCAAGTTAGGGCTTTTCCTGTATTCAGTGGCACATAATGAATTAGTGTATTTAATTTCAAGACTGTAGCTCAGCGGGAACATAGACATTAAAAGTCACATAGTTATCAACAACTGCTTAGATAGAGAAATAGGACTTAAAAGATGAGGGTAGGAGACAGATTTTGTTCTTAAGTGAAAAGCGAAATATTTCCTGTAACTGTTAATCTCTGAAAGTACTATTTATTTATTTTAGATTTTTACATCAAATTAGTGTTCATGGCAAGTACCTGACTGACAGGCAGCCTCAGATTGAATTACTCCCTTTATGCACATGACAAGCAGCAACAGTGCAAGTTTTCCTGCACTATGTCACTAATCTGCTTTAAATCTTGTGGGACCATCGCGGGGATGAGAAAGTAAGTCAGTCTGTCGGCTCCTCTGCAGAGATTCCCAGCTGATGACATTTGTGTTGGGATAGTTTGGTTATATGGAAACATACCAACAAAGAGGAGGACTGTGACCTATACCTATATCTATCTAGATATGACCTATATCTATATCTAACACGGCAATCACTCTGAAACCTAATTCTATCTAGATATCCATCCATCCATCTATAGGTCACAGTCCTATTCTTTGTTGATATGTTTCCATATATCCAAACTATCCCAACACACATAGGCGTACACACAGACAACTTCTAGCCACTAATGAACTGGGATGGACTTAAAACAGTGATATAGAGGTACAAAAGTCTACATATATCCTAATATGGCATTATTTAGAATGATAGCACTTGTATGCATATTAAAATGGTTCTAAATATAATAAATAATGCAATGCTATGTGAGGTACATAAATTAATAATAATTAAAAAAAAACTTACACTGCTGTGGTGTGCATTATGCAGGTGTATCCTGAACACTGACAATCCCTAGAATCATCATATGCTATTCCCAGACTAAGCCCGAGCAGCTGTGCAATGATGACTGAAAATGTCTCCAGTGTTATTGTTCTTTGATACTAATATAATAACAAAGAAAGTGCTAAAAGTTCATTCAACTGTGGAAACAAACTGTGATAAAAATCTAAATTTTTTGTTTTCTGCCCTGCCTAACATACACAAAGGTATCTGTACTAGACATAATATATGAACGGAACGCATACTCCATTGTAAGGAAACTGCTCTGTCCACTTCCAGGACTAGAAGGAAGTTACAAAGAACATGTGTAATCCTGAATTCAAACACTCATTAACGTACTTTTTCTCCAGAGGCCGAATCCTCTGTGCAGTGCCTAGTCTAAGTAGACAAGTTGAGTGCAGAGTAGAAGTGCAGGGGCAAGAATCTTTCCATCTGATCCTATGGAGTGGCTACCGAGCCCAGTGGCTCAAATAATCTGTGATGCCTTTTTGGAGCCACCACCCAGAGCAGAAAACCAGAGGACCCCAGACAAGGATATCCTTTGGCTCCATTTCTATTTCATCATCCCCTGCATGCTGCTCCACAGCATGTGAGACAAGGCTCCTCTTCTCATGGTATTTAACCTCTGAATGGCCCTGCTAAATTCTGTGTTCCCCCTGCACAGCATAGCTGCATTGATTCTGTTGCCAGGGGACTCTTCTTAGTTGTAGAGGTGGGTGCAAGATTTGCCCCTACAAGCAAAGGTCAGAACTGTAAGTAACCAATACAGTATATTACTTGTACAGGTAAGTAAATTCTATTATATCATACCAGAGCAACCCCTCCAGAATAGTTTCTCAGACACAGCTTTCCTGCAAAAGATGCCCCTACATAATTTGGTTGGTCCCTGTAACTAAAGCACAAAAAAGATTCTTGATCATAAATATATTCTTTCTAAAAACAATGACAGTCTAAAAGATTTCTAGTGCATCTTCTTTAATAATAAAGTAATGTTCTTCTTACACAAATAAATATGCTATGTCATGTGGCCGTAGAATAAGATGGATATTTTTCCACTGTAAAAACCTTTGTAATAATTCATCAGCTTCCCCTGTTATAGGAATTTTGTTACTATCTGCCCAGAACTCCAATGAAGACAGCACAATTGTCATATTAAGAGAGGTAAACATCTGAAAATGTAACAGAGGAAATACAAGATCAGTTACATTATATGCACTGTAGTACTGGAAGATCTATAAGCAATGGCCATGAGTGTAACAAACTATGGATTGGACTGTCACAGAGTGTATAGCCACAGAAGTCCCCACAATAAAATGTTGTAATCTACGTTAAGGAAAACACAGTACTGAAAGATCCTAAAATCCAACATCTTAGTTCATATCAATCCTTTTCAACCTAGTCAATCAAAATAAATTCTCAGTTAGTGCATCACAACTGTCAGTTCTTTTTATTAGAGAGACAAGGTGAGTGAGGTAATATCTTTTATTGGACCAACTTCTGCTGGTGAGAGAGACAAGCTTTCAAGCTTACAAAGAGCTTTTCTTCAATTCTGTGTGAGCTCAAGAAGCTTGTCTCTCTCACCAACAGAAGCTGGTCCAATAAAGGATATTACCTCACCCACCTTGTCTCTTTAATATCCTGGGACCAACACAGTTACAATGATGCATACAGTTCTTCTTATGACCAAGTTAACTTAAAATAACTAAGATTATGTCTACACTGAAAAAAAAAAAAAACAACGGGTGCATTCTTAACTCGGGTTAGTTAACTCAGGCTAAAATACCAATGCAGACACAGCAATTTGGCTTTCAACTGAGGTTAGCAGTCTGAGTTCAACCCCAGATCAGCCTATACACTTTAAATTGCACTGCTAACCCACGTAAAAAGTCGAGTTTGGAAAATTGCCCATCTGGGGAATCCTCGTGCCAAGATTGAGGCTCATCATCCTACCAATACTGTATACACTACAAACATAACCTAAGGAAGTTTAAGACAGAAAAAGATTCACGGATATCATAACAACAGTAACAAGTGCCCACAATGAAGGTAGTCAGAGTAATTTTACAATAAAAAAATTCTAAAGGGGGACACATTGCAGGTCCCTTTATTTTCAGATGGCCCAGAGTACCTGGCGTCTCTGATGTCTCTCAGGGGTGAATGAGCTAATCCTGGTGATGAGGAATATAAAATGGTTTTTAATCTAATTGCTGCAGACTGAGTATCCTGAGGGTGAAAACTGGTATTAAACAATCACCAGAGAATAATATCATCTATAAAATATTTGGACTTCATGAGGTAATAATATTTTCTTCTCCTACTGCATCTTTCATCCAAGGTTCTCAAAGCATTATAAGTCTCACATAACCCTTGTGATGTAGGACACAGATAAGTATTATATCGAATTTACAGAAGAAAAAGACACAGAAATGTGAGGTGACTTAGCAAAGTCACACAGCAGGTCGGTGACAGAACCAGGAATAGAACCCAGGAGTCCTGATCCCAGCCCCCTGCTCTACCTGCTAGGCTATGACTACCAGCAAAATGACTCAGAACAGCCACATTTCCCATATGAATATTGAACAGAAAAAGACAGTAACTTACACTATTGACAAAGCCAATAAGCTGGACTATTTTCTCCGTTACAACATCCTTGTCTGAACCCATATAGTCATACTGAAAAATAACACAACTTTTTAGATTACAACAACATATCACTGCTGTGCAATGTTTCTTTGAATGTAACATTTCCCTTAGGAACTGATGCAGTGTCCAAATGAGTTCTTTCTATTTGTGCCATTTCCAGATTGTGGTACCTGCCTTAAAATATTCTCTCCCAGTTCTCAGAGAAACTTTATCTGTTTTTCTTCATGTCATATCCTCCCAGATCATTTGGTAGAATGGACAAAGCAGCCATCATAAGAACATGAGAATGGTCATAATGTGTCAGGCCAATGGTCCAGCTAGTCCATTATCTTGTATTTCAACAGTGACCAGTGCCAGATGCTTCAGAGGGAATGAACAGAACAGAGCAATTTATCGAGTGATCCATCCCCTGTCATCCAGTCCCAGCTTCTGGCAATCAGAGGTTTATGGACATCCGGAGCATGGGGTTGTGTCAGTGACCATCTGGACTAATTGATGGACCTATCCTCCAGGAACTTACCAAATTCTTTTTTTTTACCAAGTTATACTTTTGGCCTTCACAACATCCCTTCACAATGAGTTCCACAAATTAACTGTGCATTGTGTGAAGTACTTCTTTACATTTGTTTTAAATAGACTGCCTAATCATTTCATTGGGTGACCCTGTGTTCTTGTGTTATGGAAGGAGTAAATAACACTTCTTTATTCACTTTCTCCAGATCATTCATGATTTTATTGATCTCCATTATATCTCCCCTCAGTTTTCTCTTTTCCAAGCTGAAGAGTTCCAGTCTTTTTAATCTCTCGCATATGGAAGCTGTTCCATACCCCTAATCATTTTTGTTGCCCTTCTCTGTACTTTTCCCAATTCTAATATATCTTTTTTGAGACAGGGCGAGCAGAACTGCACACAGTATTACAGGTGTGGGCATACCATGGATTTATATAATGGCATTATGATTTTTTCTGTCTTATTGTCCCTTTTCTAATGTTTCCTAACATTCTGTTAGCTTTTTTGACTGCTGCTGCACATTGAGCAGATGTTATCAGACCACTATCCACAAGGACTCCAAGTTCTCTTTCTTGAGTGATAACAGCTAATTTAGATGCCATCATATTGTATGTGTAGTTGGGATTATGTTTTCCAATGTGCATTACTTTGTATTTATCAGCACTGAATATCTTCTGCCATTTTGTTGCCCAGCCTCCCAGTTTTGAGAGATCCATTTGTAACTCTTCACAGTCAGCTTTGGACTTAACTATCTTGAGTAATTTAATATAGTCTGCAAACTTTGCCACCTCACTATTTACCCCTTTTTCCAGACCATTTATAAATATGCTGAACAGCACTGTTCCCAGCACAGATCCTTGGAGGAGCGTACTATTTACCTCTCTCCACTGTGAAAACTGACCATTTGTTCCTACCTATGTTTTCTATCTTTTAACCAGTTACTGATCCATGAGAGGACCCTCTTATCCCATCACTGCCTACTTTGCTTAAGAGCCTTTGGTGAGAGACCTTGTCAAAGACTTTCTGAAATCTGGATCACCCATGTCCACATGCATTTTGACTCCCTCAAAAAATTCTGATAGATTGATGAGGCATGATTTCCCTTTACAAAAGCAGTGTTGACTCTTCCCCAACGTATTGTGTTCATCTATGTGTCTAATAATTCTGTTCTTAACAATACTTTCAGCCAGTTTGCCTCATACTGAAGTTAGGCAATTACAGGCCAGTAAGCCTATCTGTGAGTCATCTGGTACAGAAGCAGATTTAAACAATAGGTTACATACCACACTTAGTAATTCTGCAATTTCATATATGAGTTCCTTCAAAACTCTTGAGTGAATATCATCTGGCCCTGGTGACTTATTACTGTTTAATTTATCAATTTGTTCCCAAACCTCCTCTATTTGTCCCCTAAAAGGAATGGCTCAGATGTGGGAATCTCCCTCACATCCTCTGCGGTGAAGACCGATGTAAAGAATCGATTTAGCTTCTCTGCAACGGCCTTGTCTTCCTTGAGTGCTCCGTTAGCACCTCAATCATCCAGTGGCCCCACGGATTACTGAGCAGGCTTCCTGCTTCTGATGCACTTGAAAAAAAATTGCTGTTAGTTTCTCTGTCTTTTGCTAGTTGCTCTTCAAATTCTTTTTTGGCCTGCTAATTATATTTTTACACTTGACCTGCCAGAGTTTATGTTCTTTTCTATTTTCCTCTGTAGGATTTGATTTCTGGTTTTTGAAAGATGACTTTTTGTCTGCAACTGCCTGTCTCTGTGGATAGACTGAGCCCAGCTCCCCTGGACTTCAGCCGGTGAGCCCAATCCAGCTAGTTAAAGAGGGCTGGGCTACACCTCGGCCTGTAAAGGGCTGCTATGCTAATAGGCACCTGGAAGGAGGAAGGACTGAAACAGGCTGAGCCCTGGGGAGGAAAAGCCACACTGGAGTGGGAGAGGTCAGAGGCTCAGAGAAGCAGCCCTGCAGCTGCTGCTCCTCAAGAGGAGCAGAGCTGACTGAGGCTGGGAGGCTACCAGGAGCTGGAGTGCCAGAGACCCCTGGGAAGGGTGGCCCTGAAGCCTGGGGCCAAGGATGGAGTTAAGACTATTTTCTGTTTGCTTGATAACCTCTGTTTAAAGAAAGAAATCTCCTTGAAAACACTGGGTATGGCAGCACATGCTTTAGAAGTGGGGAGAAGCAATGGCCCCTGTGACCTGGCATCTCTTACTCTGTTGTTTAGCCATGGTGGTATTTTTTGGTCCTCTTACAGATTTTTTTTTTTTTTAATTTGGGGTATACACAGAGTTTGAGCCTCTGTTGTGGTGTTTCATCCTCATAGGGGGGAAAACACCAAAGAAACCCACCACAGTAATATTTAACTTCTAAAACGGGAACTACATAATTGTTCTCTAAAGCATGGCGATGCCATTAAAAGTTTGTTGCTGGGGTTAAAAGTACTGCGGCATTGTGGTGGAGGAGATGACATACACACCCGGCCACAAGCCAAGCAAGTGTTAAGGAACTCCTGTGGTCATAATCAACCCCAACCTGTTGCACCTGTGAGGCTGGTCAGGCCTGGAGACAAGCCCTTGAAAGAGAGGAACTCCTTGCAGTTGCAGTGGCACTCAGAAGCAAGTAGACCCTGGCTCAGGCACCCAGACTGGAGGCCCTGTGTCACTAACTGACCTATAGTTTGTGAATGCTACCTGCCTAAGCCCACTGAGAAAGGAGACAGGTTGGGCTGATTTTCCTTGTTGAAATCCCACCAGGATTAAGCCCTGACTTGTGTTCCCTCTAAGTTACATGGTTGGGCAGCCACCCGGGAGTGATTCAAGTGCTGTGCACATCCAGCAGCATATGTTCAGGTGCCCCTCCTCCCTGTTACTTTGCATCCACATTGCTCCTGCAGCTGCTCCCATGACCCTCCTGCAGGCTGTGCAAAGTGGGGGGGAGAAAGGAGAGGGTGTTGATGTCAGGGTGTCCCTGCCCTCTTTCCCCCATCTCCACAGAGCCGGGGAGAGGGGACAGGGCCCAGGATTGAAGCAGGAGAGAGCTGCTGTGGTCGGAGGTCTGAACTAGCTTTCCGGGTGAGTGAGTGTGCCTTAAAGGGACAGCACATGGTCTCTGAGACTTCTCCAGCAGACAGCTCACACAATTTCTATCTCTGTCTCTCTCCTGCCCATGTCCATCTCCGCAGAGTGGGGGAGGGAAGTCAGGGCCAGGAGACCTTTCAGTGAGTGCCTTAAAGACACAGTGCATGGTGTCTCTCAGAAACTTCCCCAGCAGCCAGTGCACACACAGTCTCTGTGTGTGTGTGTGTGTGTGTGTCTCTCTCTCTCACACACACACACAGTCTTTCACACTCCCCTCCCAACACATACTTGTATGATTGTTGTTGTTACTTCTTGGTACTTCCTGCAATGCACATATATTCTCTGTAATTTTATTCTTTCAAAGTGTGTTATTTTAGTTTTTGACTGGTCTATGCATTTCATAATTTTTTATTTCTCTCTTACACTTACATTTAATTCTTTGAGTGGTGAGTTCTAAAATGCCTAACCTGTCCTGGCTGGAGTAATTATCCCTATGGTAACTTTTAAAAAATATATATTATATCTAGGTTTTTTGTTTCTACTGGTGGCGCACATTCCCACATACCTTGCTTCACATAACAAAATTTATTCCACACATGGATGGAAAAACTCAGAGGAAACATTGGCCCTGACCTTTATTTGCACTGAGGACTGGGAACTGAAACTGCCTGAAAGACTGCTTCCCTCTCCCTTACACAAGGAAGAGAGGCAGGTAAATATTTTCCTTTGTTTGGATTGTTTTGTATCCCCTGAAAGGGGATGGACTCACTAAAGGCACAGCCAGAAGGCTGTACCTATACCCCGGAACCAGACCACAGGGCTGGGGCTGCCCAGAGAACAATATAGGAGTTAAGTGAGGTGCCTGCTCTCTCTGCAAGGGGGCAATCTTGGGACATTAACCTTAGACAGTCATAAATATGCATCAATTTTTGAACCTGCCATAGGATTAATCAAAATGCTTAAGACAGCAGTGGGGGTAAGAGAGAAGCCACATTTACATTTTGGAAAGTGTGTATGCTCCTACTATCTGCTGTAGAGACAGAGAGGAAGTTTCTAGAGCTGGACTCAGCTTTTGCAATAAAAATTAAGACAATACCATAGGAAAATATAAATGATTAATTAGTTTAGACTTACCAGAGCCTTGTCCAAAATCACATGCATTTCCAGATATCTGGAGTATCTGATGAAACTCTGTTTTGACTTAAGGAAAAAAGTATATTAAGGAATTACTTCTACATTATATCTCTTGTGATGATTACCAGCAGTGTGAATGAGACACAGAGAGCAGAAGTCACAAAATAAGATAGAGCGAATGGCCAAGCTAAATTAGTGCTATTCAGAAACAATTAAATCTAACTGTGGAAATAGCCCTGGACTTCTGAGAAGTCACAAATTAAGGAATGTACAAGATTCTAAAATCATCAACAGAGTTGGACTTCTCTTAGTTACTAGAATTTAAAAAAAGGAGAACAGTAATGGGAAAAATTAAATTAATAAGTGATCTCACAGCTGAGAATCCCTTTGACAATGACATTCACTCTCCACTATTAGCAAAACCTCTGAACCAAAATTGCGGAAGCAACATGTACAGCTGGTTCAGACCAGCCAAAATCTATCACAGACTCTAGAAAAGTGAAAAATCTGACATTTTGGAGCCAAATTTGTTCAGTCAAAGATTACTTGAACTGGTCCCCCCTGCCCAAAGGAAAATTATGTGAGGTCAAGACTGCAAACTCTAAACATCTGTGCGGAATCTACACATCCCATCTGCCCTCGATCCATATTTTGACCTTTGAATGCCGCCAAAACTCTCTCTCTGGTGGGATAGTTAGGTGTCCTGCCATGCATACTGCACTGGCAAGTCACTGGCACCACCACCATTTAATTTCTCACCTTAGTTCCCAATTTGACCTAGTAATTTGGATCAGCACAAAGTCTGAAGAGATAAAGCTATATTGTTCTCTGAGGGCATGGCTGAAAACCCTTCTCCTAACCAGTCGTGTAGGGGCATTGATGTTGAGAAGTGAAAGTGGGAGGCAGAGATCCAAAAATATCAAAGGAGACTGTCTACATATGTATGTGTACTTAGATTCACACTTTACATCTAGAACTACCAATTTTCAGGTGCCCAGAGCTGTGTCAGGTGCTGAACAGAGTGAGGATCCAGGAAGGATATTTAGGAGTCTAAAGGACTGGTCCCCCCACCCAAAGGAAAAATTAGGAGTGCTGTCCCACTAGTTGTTATTGGGCTTGTGTGCCAAAAGCCCTCCCCATCGAGATGGGAATGTCCCCTTTAGTAATATTACATCTCTGAGCAAGGTGGTGACATAGGACATCATGATCTCTCAAACCAGTTCAGGGCACTGGATCACATTCCCACAAGCATCCAAGAATCACTGCTTCCCAGCTACATTCTTTCCTAATAAAGTAATGGCTTCTTCTTGCCGTGGAGCAGCCCCATGCTTCAATCCACGGTCCAGGAAGATAATGTGTGTTACCACAATGCCCAACCAGAAGAGGCAAAAGACTGTTCTTACCACAACTGAGTTGTCCAATGTCTAAGTATCAGACATACTGAATAAACCAAAATTACCACCGTGTAATAGCTTTGCCTTGTCTTTCAGACAAAACACAAACTGACAAATTCTGCCCTCGGTAACATCCTCGCAACCCCACACACTTTATTGAGGATGTACAAGTGTAACTGAGAAAAGAATTTGGCTAAAAATACTGAGGGTAGAGATTGTAAAGTAGATCAGATACTAACCTATGGAACATTTTCTCAGCAAAGTAAACAAACCAGAGAGCACCTACTTTTATTCCTGTATCCAGCTTCCGTGTCATCCCTTCACTCCATATAACAGAATCATTTTCTACAAAAAGCAGACTCTCGATGTTTTCATTCCATATTTGATAAACGAGATGCTGAAATCCAGGTGTAGAGTCCAAAGGTTCAATTCCATAGCTGACATTCTTTAACTGCAGTATCCCTCTGAAAAAGCCAAAATTATGTGAAGCTATAACATAGTTTGAATGAAACCACAGTCAGTCTGAAAGGCAACAGATACTGTAAATGCAAAAACACCTTCTGAATTATTTAATTTCTGTATTTAAATAAAAGTGATGTTATTACCTAAGTCCAGAACAGGTGCTGAGTGTCACAACTGAATTTGGAAAACCTGCAATATATCCTTTGTAGAAACAATCACGCTAGAAAAAATAATTAAAGAAAAATTAATTGCTTACTCATCAGTAAGGGGAGTTCACCAGCCAAGAGCTGGAAATCATTTCAGTATTGACATGTTGAGGAAGTGCACATCGATAATTATTTAGGCTGTTCTGTCACCCTAATTTTAAAGGACATGCTCCCAATGAAAAGATTCAAAGTATATGGGGACAAGGGGACCACAGTCTATAAATGTGAGTAGATACGAGTGAATTGGAAAACTCTGAATGATCAACTTTTCTGTCTTTGTACACCTCTCAGGGCTAAATTAACTTTTGTGGACCCCACACCGCACTCAGCCCATGCTCTGCTCCGAGGCCGTGCCCCTGCTCTGCATCTTCCCTCAAGGCCCCGCCCACCCCTCAAACAGAGAGGGGAGGGAGCAGAAAAGAGGGGGGGCAGAGAGGAACAAGCAGTGGTTAGGGGTGGGGCAGAGAAGAACAAGCGGTGGGAGGGGTCTTGCAGGGGAAGAGGCTGAGTGGGAGCGGAGCCTAGGGGCGGAGCACAAACAGAGTCAGGGGCAAGGCCACAGTCCAGGCACCAGGGCCCCTTCTGAATGTGAGCCTGATGCCAGGGTGCCACTGTAAACCCAGTACTGTTCCGTCTACTGCAGGGGTCTCCAACGTGGTGCCCCAAGAAAGGTTGGGGACCACTGCTCTACTGAACTGCACTCTTCGGGAACTATTCTCTATTTATCTTAGGTACTTATATGGCCTCCATCACCATAGTATCTGAGCACCTCAATGTATTTATCTTCGTGGCACTCATGTAGGGTGACCAGATGTACCGACTTTATAGGGACAGTCCCGATATTCGGGGCTTTCCCTTATATAGGTGCCTATTATCCCCCACCCCATCCTGCCTTTTTCACACTAGCTATCTGATCACCCTACACTCATGTGAGGTAAGGAAGTTCTATTATCCTCATTTTACAGATGGAGAATTGAGGCACAGAGAGACTAAGTAACCTGCCCAAAGCCACACATGAAGCCTGTGCTGAGGAGAGACTTGAAACTAGGTCTGCCAAGTCCTAGACTAGAGCCCTCATCATTGGACCACCCTTCCTCTCCAATATTCCAGTACTATGAGCAAGTACTTTGAGAAGGTACTGCTAGCCTGTCGATAACATTAAAGAGAAAACGTTAGGGTGCATCGCTCTTCTGAAACTAGCATCTGCCATTGCCATTAACTGCAGATTAAATCCTACTTTGGGGATCTGGGGAGAACAGTTTATGGATAATAAGCCAATGTTATCTATAGTGAAATGCTCAGGATTGTAAGAAACCCATATTTCTTTTACATCTATGTTTTTCTTTTGATATTACATACAATTGAGATCTTCACAATTATGCTATTGATTTTTTGAGTTTCAAAAATGTTCACAGCATTGGCATAACTCCACTCCAACTAACTTTAATGGGAACAAAGTTAGGTCAATGCCAACATCTTTAGAAAATCCCACTCTAAAACTCTGTTATAGTGCCTTTACCACAGATACTTTCTTGATAAGGCTGTTCATTTAATACAGTTCTAAATTTGAAAATAATAATCTTAGTAATTCTAATGGATATTTGCACCTTTCGTTGAAGAAGCTCATACCAGGATTAGCAATAAATAAGAAAAGTCTAAGGTACTTTCCAACAGGAGAGTCATTTTAATACTTAAAAATACAAGTAAAATCCCCAGAGAGTATTTCTAACAGCGAGTCTATTTTGAAAAAGCAAAACCTGCAAGACACAGTAAATAAATCTTACCTTAATACGTGGGAAATCAGAATGAACAGACCCCTCTTGCCTGTAAGTATACACCCTGAAATTATTGGGTAAAAAAACCCTATTAAAAAAAAAGAAAAGAAAAAAGTTTGAATTCCAAAATAAGTATTATACATTCCCGAAAAATTAAAGAGCACTCACACTTATTTCAGCATGCTGCAATGATTTTTTCCACCCTTTAGTTCAGTTTCTTGAGTGATAATTTAATGTTTTATGTTTTCTTTCCGATTGGAAAATTGTTGAGTTACATGGGGTGACAGTAATGTTCAGCCTTCAAGGTACACAGCTACAAACCCTTTTGAGGATTCCAAGTTCTTTTCTTGTTTGCCAGTCAGCTTCTCAATCTTCTCCTTAAGTCTTGAAACTCAAGGATCTGTGAGAGTATTTCCTACTGAAGAATCTTAGATTCATCAATTGTCAGTGCATACTAATAAGAATAACAGGCTAAAGCAACAAGATGGAGAAGTATAAGTTTGGGCTCTTACAGACAAAGAATAATAACTAAAGACTGGAACACAAAGGGAAGTTAAAAACAAGTCATCCAATACCTGACAGGATTTATTAGAAACATTTATAGTAACAGATCACACAGTACCCAGCCAAAGGGTGAGGAAGAAAGTCAATAACTTACTGTTGCTTCAGGAGAAGGGTATATGACCTCTCTTCTATTGTAATAACATAGGACACCTGATTCTAATGCATCCAGAATGACAGAGAAAAAGGGATTTACTAACACAGTATTTTAACTGGCTCAATAATTCTGCATTTACTAAACATGAACATAAATTTAAAGTGCTCGATGAAGATGAAGTGAGCTGTAGCTCACGAAAGCTCATGCTCAAATAAATTGGTTAGTCTCCAAGGTGCCACAAGTACTCCTTTTCTTTTTGCGAATACAGACTAACACGGCTGTTACACTGCAAGTGTTTCTCAAGAGAAATAGACAAATTGAGATTAAAACACGCCAGACTAGGGTTCGCCCCTCTTGACATCTACCAAAATGTATTGTGTTGTGCTCTTCCAAAGCTCTATGCAGTGCAGAGTGACTCAATCTTTGATTTCTTAAACTGAATCATATGTTCCTTTTAAAAGCTCCTTGTCTATAAGCAACCACAGCTAAGGAGGAGGAGAAAATGTAGTTACAATCAATAAACTGTGTGAAATCCTGCTCCAATTACCACAGGGGACAAAGTCATATATCAGTGTACACTATATAATTTACAGGAATATTGTATGTGGCAATATAATTTCCATACAAAGTGATACAGCATGGAAAGTTATTTTCATGGAAGCCAAATAATTATACTGATTGTGCAAGTGAGCACAAACCCACCAGAGTTCATAATATCATGATGTACAGTTATCACAAAAGTGACTGTAAAACCATTTAAAAACAATTAAATACACCCATCAATAAAAATTATTAGATTTTAAAAGACAAGTACATTATGTGCAAATTATTTACATAAGAATTGCCATAACGGTTCAGACCAGTTGTAGTCTAGTCTATTATCCTATCTCCAGTAATAGCCTGTACCAGATATGTCAAAGGCAGGTACAAGAAGTATAGTGGACCATTATGGAATAACCTGCTCATAAATTAAGTTTATTCCTAGCCCCCTTTCATTAGTGTTTGGATTATACCCTGAATAAGGAGGGTTTATATCCCTTATAAAAATTATGTTATCCAACAAGACTTTTGTTTCCTTTTAGCAGTCACACATACGTTGCCTTTCATTTCCACTGAATATTTCATTGTGCTTACTCTTATTTTATACATATCATCATCACGTCCCCTCTTGTTCATCTTCCTTCTCAACTGAACTCTCCTAATCTCTCCTCATACAGAAATTTTCCCATGTATCGAATTGTTTTGTTGCCCAACTCTGGACCTCTTCTATTTCTGTAACATTTTTCAGAGACAAGGTGTCTAGAACTGAATACAATATTCCAGGAGAGAGTGTGATATCAGTTTGTGTAACTGGCTAATAGTTTCAGCATTATTTCTATCCCATTATTTATATACACTTTATTTGTTTTTTTGACTGGAGCTGCGCTCTGAGCAAATGATTTCAATGAGGTATTCACAATGAACCACGGGGATCTTTCTCCTGAGACATTACATTAATTTAAAACACTTCAATACATGCAAATAGTTTAAATTATTCGTTCATTGAGCATTACTTTGCATTTGACAAGACTAAGACTGCCAGTACATTTCAAGCCGATACCTGTAAGATTTTGGAATCTGAAACTTTAAAAAAAATGTTGTTCAAGAGATTTGCAGCTCCCCTTTAAATCTAAAGGTTTAAATGCTCAAGCACTTGGCCATATCTAGCTTAGTATATCAAGATGGTTGACTGTACAATATTTCATGATGGTACACAGAAATTATAAAAGCCACAAGAATTTGTGCATGGAAGGATTTCTAGTTGTACCTTCAGCTAAGCAAAATTATTATATTCCAGTCCATAGTTTTTTAATAATTAAATTTCTTAATTATAAGCACTAGTACCCGATTTCCATTTTGATTTGATGTCATTGACCATGGAACCATGATTTGCATAAATGTTCGTTGAGAACCTAGAGAAGAAAAAATCTTCACTAACTGTATTTATTAATATTCCCCCTGTCATACATCACCCTTCACTATCTGCCTAAACTGTTCCTTCCTATCTATCCTCCCGTTTCAATCACCAACCATGGCTTCCTCTCCATTTCTGAATGCATTATAAAACTGCCATATTGGCGTTTGGCATGCTTGACTGACTCTCTCTTCAATCTGCTCTGTGTCCACACCCACCTTATTCCCCATATAAACGCACACTACTCCCCTAATCTTGGCTTCCTCTCTTTCCGCTTCATTCAGCAAACTGGAGGAAGCGCTTTTAAGCTTTTTTGTTTTTGCTGCCTGTTTACCAGGCACTTTCTCCCTCTGAGCCAGTCAAGTTTCTTCTTCAAATGCAGGTTTAAAACTTTTCCCTTCACCTAGCTAAATGCCTTGCTCCCTTCCTTGAATTTATGTCCAATGTGAAATTGTTTTATTAATGCCCTGATTTCTAGCTCTCCCCTTTTCTGCAGGCCCTCGGCTCATCATGCCCTGTCTCACTGTCCCCAGTTCTACAGTGTCACCTCCCTTAAGGCCTGTTGCTCTACACTGCTTGGAGATATGCAACACAAAATATCTTTCCTGGAACACATAATGATGAACCCTGGGTGAGAGAACAAAATCTGCCAGGGCCTGGGACCCACAGGACTCCCTGAGTACCGGTAATTTACCTCCAAGCCCCTCCCTTCTTCTCTTAGCTGGAGGGTCAGGGATAGGGGAGCTGTAGGAGGGACAGCAGAGGGCTTCTCAGTGCAGAGGGTGGCTCTTGAGGGAGCAGTGACACGGGGACAGACTTGATGTTTCTGTGGGTGAAGCGGCATGGAGATGTCTGTCTCCAGGAAGCCAGTGACATCAGGAGAGCTCTCGCAGCACCCACCCATATCGAATGACACCGGGGGGCGGGAGCGTTTATCCCTGAAGCAGGGGCAGTTGCCAGAAGACCATGCAGTGAAATGGGGATCTCTCTCCCTGGAAGGAGGGGGCAGTGATACAGGATAGGTCTCTGCAATGCAGGAGAATTGGCATGGGGGAGTCTTTCTCCTTGAGTGGGGGGGGGAGGTCTCTCCCAGGGGGTCATTGATGGGGGCAGTGACAAGGGGAGGGTCTCACCTGGCAGGGGCAGTAATATAAGGGGTGTCTTCCTGGCAGGGGGGCAGTGACATGGGGGGGGTCTCTCCTGGGGGGATGTGACAAGGGGGGGTCTCTCCTGGGGGATGTGACAACGGGGGGTGTCTCCCTGGCAGGGGGAGAGTGATGGGGGCAGTAACATGAGGGGTGTTTCCCTGGCAGGGGGACAGTGACATGGGTGGGTCTCTCCTGGGAGGGATGTGACAAGGGGGGGGTCTCACCTGACGGGGGCAGTAATACAAGGGATTCTCCCTGGCGGGAGGGGGAGTTAAATGGGGGGTCTCTCCCTGGGGGGCAGTGGCATGAGCCATGTCTCCCAGAGGGGCAGGGGCAGTGACAAGGGATCTCTCCCTGGTGGGGAGGCAGTGACATGGGGGTCTCTCCCGGGGATGTGACAAGGGGTGGGGGTGTCTCTCCCAGGGAGGCAGTGACATGAGCCATGCCTCCTGGAGGGGTGGGGGGCAGTGACATGGGGGGTCTCTCCCTGGCGGGCAGTGACTGGGGGGGTCTCCCGCAGGAGCGGGGGCAGTGACGGGGGGGTCCCCCGGAGGGGCAGGGGGCCGGGGGCGGGGGCAGTGACGGGGGCTCTCCCGGAGGGGCAGTGACGGGGGGTCCCGTAGGGCGGGGGCAGTGACGGGGGGCTCTCCCAGAGGGCGGGGGCAGTGACAGGGGGCTCTCCCGGAGGGGCAGTGACGGGGGGTCCCGGAGGGGCAGTGACGGGGGGTCCCGGAGGGCGGGGGCAGTGACGGGGGAGTCCCGGAGGCGTGCCCGGAGGGCGGGGGGCAGTGACGGGGGCAGTCCCGGAGGGGCAGGGGGGGGTCCCGGAGGGCGGGGGGCAGGGGGGGGGGTCTCCCGGAGGGGCAGTGACGGGGGGGTCCCGGAGGGCGGGGGGTGCGGGAGGGGGTCCGGAGGGCGGGGGGGCGGGGGTCCCCGGAGGGGCAGTGACGGGGGGTCCCGGAGGGCGGGGGGCAGTGACGGGGGGTCCCGGAGGGCGGGGGGCAGTGACGGGGGGGTCTCCCGGAGGGGCAGTGACGGGGGGGTCCCGGAGGGCGGGGGGCAGTGACGGGGGGGTCTCCCGGAGGGGCAGTGACGGGGGGGTCCCGGAGGGCGGGGGGCAGTGACGGGGGGGGTCTCACCCAGCGCCGGGAGGAGCCGGGCCAGCAGCAGCGCCAGGACGGGTCCCATGGCGCGGGGCCGGCGGCGCCGGTTGGAGCCGGGAACGGTCGGGCGGCGAAACGGCCCCTGGGGCCTCGAGCCCGCGGGCAGCGCGTGACGGAGACCGAGACCCCCCCGCCCCACACACACACACACACACACACACAGCGGAAGGGGAGGACAGTCGGGGCCGTGTGGGAGGTGGGGGCAGTGTGGAGGGGTGTGGGGAGGCGTGGGGCAGTGTGGAGGGGTGTTGGGGGCCATGTGGGGAGGGGGCTGTGGGGTTGTTGGGAGGCGTGGGGCAGTGTGGAGGGGTGTGGGGGGGCGTGGGGCAGTGTGGAGGGGTGTTGGGGGCCATGTGGGGAGGGGGCTGTGGGGTTGTTGGGAGGCGTGGGGCAGTGTGGAGGGGTGTTGGGGGCCGTGTGGGGCAGTGTGGAGGGGTGTGGGGAGGCGTGGGGCAGTGTGGAGGGGTGTTGGGGGCCATGTGGGGAGGGGGCTGTGGGGTTGTTGGGAGGCGTGGGGCAGTGTGGAGGGGTGTTGGGAGGTGTGGGGCAGTGTGGAAGCATGTTGGGAGGTGGGGACACTGTGGAGGGGCGTTGGGGGCAGTATGGGAGGTGGAGAACGGGGGGGGGGGTTTGGGAGGCGTGGGGCAGCATCAGGGGTGTCTGTGTTGGGATGCCAAGTGCTAACACGTGCATCGCTCCCATTATGTTAGCAAATCTGTCACACATCCACCCTCCGTGCAGTGCATGTGGGAAGGAATCATAGAATCATAGAATATCAGGGTTGGAAGAGACCCCAGAAGGTCATCTAGTCCAACCCCCTGCTCGAAGCAGGACCAATTCCCAGTTAAATCATCCCAGCCAGGGCTTTGTCAAGCCTGACCTTAAAAACCTCTAAGGAAGGAGATTCTACCACCTCCCTAGGCAACGCATTCCAGTGTTTCACCACCCTCATAGTGAAAAAGTTTTTCCTAATATCCAACCTAAACCTCCCCCACTGCAACTTGAGACCATTACTCCTCGTTCTGTCATCTGCTACCATTGAGAACAGTCTAGAGCCATCCTCTTTGGAACCCCCTTTCAGGTAGTTGAAAGCAGCTATCAAATCCCCCCTCATTCTTCTCTTCTGCAGGCTAAACAATCCCAGCTCCCTCAGCCTCTCCTCATAACTCATGTGTTCCAGACCCCTAATCATTTTTGTTGCCCTTCGCTGGACTCTCTCCAATTTATCCACATCCTTCTTGAAGTGTGGGGCCCAAAACTGGACACAGTACTCCAGATGAGGCCTCACCAATGTCGAATAGAGGGGAACGATCACGTCCCTCGATCTGCTCGCTATGCCCCTACTTATACATCCCAAAATGCCATTGGCCTTCTTGGCAACAAGGGCACACTGCTGACTCATATCCAGCTTCTCGTCCACTGTCACCCCTAGGTCCTTTTCCGCAGAACTGCTGCCTAGCCATTCGGTCCCTAGTCTGTAGCTGTGCATTGGGTTCTTCCGTCCTAAGTGCAGGACCCTGCACTTATCCTTATTGAACCTCATCAGATTTCTTTTGGCCCAATCCTCCAATTTGTCTAGGTCCTTCTGTATCCTATCCCTCCCCTCCAGCGTATCTACCACTCCTCCCAGTTTAGTATCATCCGCAAATTTGCTGAGAGTGCAATCCACACCATCCTCCAGATCATTTATGAAGATATTGAACAAAACCGGCCCCAGGACCGACCCTTGGGGCACTCCACTTGATACCGGCTGCCAACTAGACATGGAGCCATTGATCACTAACATGGAGCCATTGATCACTAACATGGAGCCATTGATCACAGGAGAACTCACCGGGAGCTACCTGAAGGCACGAACTACACTGCACTTTATGGACAAGCGAGATTTTATTCACCAAAAGCAAACAGCTTATAAAATACGTCACTGCAGCTATAATCTAGTCTCATTTTTTCTTCCCCAGGAACCAGGACCTCAGCCTTCTTTTCCTAGCTTCGGTTTATGCCTGGTCCAGTTTAGTCTTCAGGTCTCTGCCAGCTGTTGCTCTTTACCTACATACTGTGGCAGAAAAGCAGAGGGTGGGGGAAGGGAACAGACATATCACTGCATATAGCAACAACAAGTAAATAGAACAACCAGGCTAGACTCTTCAAAAGGGATTGTTTGTTTGTTTGTTATGTTTATGCATTTCCTTAATGTGTCTAGTTTAGCATTAGGAGCACAAATAGTTTTAACAAAATGGACTTGATCAAATTCACTGCATGCCACTGATTATTTATAAAAATATGCAACCATAGCATTATGAGGTTTATATTTTTCACCAATACAAATATAATTATGGATATTCCAGAGCAGACGTTTAGAAAAACCTACTGCATAATGAGTAGATCGTATTTTGAAGAATAAACTGGTGTGTATTGAAACGACACCACTTCTGACCAGCTTTCTCAGAGAATCTGTGTTTTATCCTCTTTCCTGAACTGTGCTTAACACAATAGGATCCAACCCTGATTACAGTCTTGGAGTACTTGTGTAATACTTGTGTAGTACTTGTGTAAATGGTAAGTGAGAGAGAGAGTGTGCTACATATTTGAAACTTACCTTCGATTATCTGGCAGGCTCAAGTCTTCTGATCTAGATTTAGATTGTTAAAAAATGAGAGAGAGAAGATTATTTAAAACAAATTAAATGCTTCACAGTCTCGAAACTACAGAGTGTATTCAATTCTGTCTCTTTAAAATTCCAGCAATCCAGAAGAGAATTTCTTTCTATCAAAGATGAATTCTACTGACGAATACAGAGTTCCTATAAAATACATTATTTTCCTGCAGGACAGGAAGACTTTTAAAGTGCAATTTCTGTAAAAAAAAATATTTATTATGAAAATGCCATATATTGATTTTGACCCCTGTCTTGCATCAGGTTCCAGTCGTGCAAACCCCTTTGTCCATGACTTACATGTAGCCTTGGCAGAATTAAATTTTTATTTTTACTGATGGAAAATATCAATGTTTACTTTTATCTATTTAAGTGTTCACAGTTGTGCAATATTATGGGTTTTAAGAATTTTTTTTCAATCTGAATTCCTTTACATTTTCACAGTTGTAGAAATTTATGGTGGAGGTCAGGCAATAATTATTTAATGACAGCAGCCACTAAGATTCAATAATTTCAAACTTTCTGATCATTAAAACAAATTGTCAACATCACATGTCAAAACAGCCAAATTAAATACCTTTAAATCACAGTCTAATAACTTCTCAATCATTTTCCTTACTTTGCCTAGGGGCAAATGTTGATTACCATTGATGGAAATTTTTGTTGTTGTTTGGTGTGTGTTTGGTGAAACTGACATTTACTGACACCAATGGAAATCTCATCCTTCCAAGCCTATTTACATGGGACTGAAACGGAGGCACAGGCACAAGGGCCCAAGCCAGTAGATTGAGAGACACAGTTTGGCTCCATC